GGGAGTGAATCAGCAGATGGAGGATCTCTCTTTCTCTTGCCCCAAGTACTAAATAAATTAAGATTAATTTATCTTTAAGATTTTATTTTTATAGCAAAGTCAGATATATAGAGAGCAGGATAGGCAGAGAGGAAGATCTTCTGGCCATTGATTCATTCCCCCAAGTGACTGCAATGGCCGGTGCTGCGCCAATCTGAAGCCAGGAGGAGAAGGAACCTCCTCCATGTCTCCCACACAGGTGCAGGGTCCCAAGGCTTTGGCCATCCTCGACTGCTTTCCCAGGCCACAAGCAGGGAGCTGGATGGGAAGTGGGGCAACTGGGGTTAGAACTGGCACCATATGGGATCCCAGCACTTTCAAGGTGAGGAATTTAGCCACTAGGCCACTCTGCCATGCCCCAAGATTTATTTATCTAAAAAAAAAAGAAAGAAAGAAGGAAGGAAAAAAAAAAGGTTGGAGTGACAGAAATGCAAACCAATAAATGCTGATATTCACCAAAAACCAAAACCAAAAGAGGCAAGAAATAAATTTTAAAGTTTCTAAAAGGGACACAGTTTTTCTTATCCCTTGAAATGGACTCAATGATACCTTTTTCAGGTTTCTTGATACCAGTACTATAGGAAACTAAATTTCTTCTGCTTTCAACCACTCACTTTTTGGGAATTTTTCATGGAAAATATCAGAGTTAAAACATCAGAGTTAAAGAAAGCAATCAGCTCATAGTGGTAGATTCAGGCCACATGAGCACCTCACATTCGAGTGTTCAACTTAAAAAAAAAAAGAATTTATTTATTGTTCTTGGGACAGAACGATATAGTATTTACAGAGAGAAAGATCTTCTATCTGCTGCTTCACTCTGCTGGATCACTGGCTGCAATGGCAGGAACTGAGCCAACCTGAAACCAGGAGCCAGGAGATTCTTCCAAACCTCCCACATAGGTGCAAGATCCCAAGGCCTTGGACCATCCTCTACTGCTTTCCCAAACCACAGGCAGGGAGCTGAATGGGAAGTAGAGCAGCCAGGACACTAACTGGTATCCATATTGCATTCCAGAACGCGCAAAGTGAACAATAGCCACTGGACCATTATGCTGGGCTCACGTCATTGTTTATCTTATAGAGCATACCAGGCCCAGAAAATAAGCTAGAAAAAAATAATAATAATAGATATAGACTAAACAGGAAATTATTTTGTGGATCTGCAAGACCTGCGCTATGATACTTATACTGGAACTTTGCAAGGCATGAGCCAGTATCTCTACATCACAGAGACTATAAAAGTCATTCATATAGCCTGTTTCAGGGAACACGTCCATCGCTCTGCGGACTCGCTGCTCAGTGTTCTCACATTTTTCTGTACTTGGGAGACTGGCAACCTTCCAGGTGACATTCTAGTTGGCTTGCAATAGCACACTCAAATGTGATACATGTTGCTTCCAACACCCAAGAAGGCTTGCCAAGTGATGTGCCTTTTCTTTCATCATAATTGGCAAAATTTATCATGATGCATCTTTCCCCTTTTGGGGAAAGGCAAGCTTCAGATCACTAGTCCATTGGAAACTACAGTGTGAATGGTCATGAATTATTGTGGCTTTATCTCCCATTCTCTATCTTTTACCTCTTACTAGTTTGTTAACAAAACACATTACATCCTATTTATCAGATGAAACAAGCATAAAGTTTTAAATACATAACATGTGGAGTGTCTTGTGGAATGTCGGGATGATCAAGATTTCTGTGAACAACATGGCAAGAGGCAGAAGAACTGCAAGAGCTCTGAGGCAAAACTGTGAATGCTGCTTTTGACACTGTGAGGTATAAGCAAACTTCTCTTTTCAATTTGTCTTTGCAAACTGCTGCAGGAAAAAAAAAATCATTACCCAGATCAAAGGTGTTCACCATTTCAGGAGCCATGTTGGTTTAATCTATTAGAAGCAACCTGGCACACCAGTTTGGGTGACAATTGGAACCTCAGCTTTTTAAGGGCATCTCACAATCCTAACTTGTCAAGTGTTGCATTGTGCCTTACTATTTGTTCAAACCATGTGTTATGACGAGTGTATCCTACTTTAAGGAGTTTCCTTTAGGAGTTGTAATAGGTGCTAAACAGTAGGTGGCCCATACAATCAGCCCATATAATCAAAATTATGGACACAAAGTCTACAGTGAAGTTCCCTGGTAGAGCAGCTTTACAATCCATGGCTAGAGGAATAATATCCAATGGGACTTCACTGGAGGAAGTCTCTTGGCATCTCATGCTTGTTTTTCTCCAGAGCTTATCCTGTGCCAATCACTTTGCTGATTTTCCTTTGTATCTTTTCCTTAATAACTTTACATCACATGCAGGATCATGCAAGTTCTCCTCGTGACTCATTGAGTCTGGGCAGAGGAGGTCTTGGACACTATCAACACAGTTCTATTTTGGTGGGACACAGTGGCTTTTGAGATTTTAGAATTCATGTCAATGGAGAGCCAGTCTAGGAATCCCCTCAAGATGAAGATAATCCCTTTTCCACATTCCACATTCTAAGTCAACGGCTTCAGCTTCCCAGGGGCCAGCTTGGAGGCAGCCTTATGGAATGGATGCAAGTGAGTGCTAGAGGATCCTACTTCAAGGGTACCCGAGCTCCCCTTTAATCAAGAGATATTTTTTGCTGAATTGAATTAGATCGAGTGAGCGACTAAGAGGTTATAACACTTTTGATTTATGTCAGACAAGTCAAGATTTGGAGTTCCAGTCTAGAGTGTCTTCTAATATGTAGCTTAAGCAATATTTTAATGGGATTTCTATTTTATTCCTAGATTTCCCAGGAATTAGCCATAATCAGAGATCCCTGCAGGTTGAGGCATTCTGACTCGTTATGCTTTCTTGATACCCCTTATAGTTAACATGCCCACCCTGTCTTTGGAATGTAATTGCTGCCACTTTGCTCCAATAATCTACAAATCTTATCCTCACTTAAATCAGGTAGTACACCTCAATGGTCGTACCCAATCAAGTTTCAATGAACTAATTAAACTATTAAAGCTACAGGCAGATCTGTTTCACTTGGGATCTTTCATACATGCAGCCACATCAGTGACTTCTCCTAATTTCATGTTATATTTTCCTTTCTGACTCAAAACGCTCTTAGAATTGCATTCTGCCCACCCAACACCCCAGCACAGCTGTTTCTAAGGTTTCCACTGGTTATACATTAGTGGAGTCTTTCAAATCTGGTGTGTAAGCAATCTTCTCCCATTACCTAGGGCTGATTTCACCTTACCTGTGATCTAGTGGCCTCTGAGGTGAGCGTGGCATACCTTGAAGCCCATGAATATCCTCTTCACTGCCTCTATCCCAGAAGAATGATGCATCAGAGAGTACCCAGAGACCAAAGCACAACCTCTCCTACCGCCAGGAGAGCCAGGGTGAGCTGGGCTTCCAGGCTGTCAGTTGTATAGCTCTGGTGCGGTGCACTGCCTTCAGTTGTCGTTCGCAATGCCAGCATTCCACACTGAAGTGCTGGGTGGAGTTCCAGCTACTCCACAGTAGTTGCCCCCATTACATGAGACTCCAGCAGAAGTCAGCATTCAGCAACCTGCACAATTGTGAGTAAAATCTCAGTGAAATCGGACCCATCTTGAGTGAGAGTAGTATGGAATGAAGTGAGTTTCTGAATATAGGAAAAGCCAGGAACTGTGGTTACTATTCACTAAGTCCTCACTGTGCGTCAGACACCAGGCTCCGATTTATACATACTGGTGTCCCACTGCATTCATTTTACTACGGGCAGAATAAGACACCCCCCCCCCCCATCCCCGCCAAACTCTGTCAGAGCCTCTTAGGACCCAAGCAACCTGCCCCCTGCCGGTCCTTCTGACCTCTGTTTAGGAGGTTCCATCCACGTCTCAGCTGAACAAGCCACCCCCTGCAAGCTGCCTTTCTCCAGTACCTCTCTCTCCACCCACCTCCACACTAAGGTTGCTTTCTTTTGTAATCTATTATATTACTTATTGTTCATTTTTTAACATTCATTGTTTCCTATTTTATTAGTTTATTGTTTCCTGTTTTGTGCCCCTCAGAAAAATTCTGTAACAGGAAATTTTATCAAGAAGACCGCCTCCATGTGTCAAATGAAGCTAACGGGTCGAACAAGAGGCACAATAAGGAGTTTGGAATTGTCACAAAACTGGGAAGCTCCTGATTTTTTGATGCTAATGATTTTTAATGAGCAGCATGGGGCAACCCGCTTCCTTTGGCATCATTCCGGGCACCTCCATACCCTCTGACAAATCTGAGCAGACAGAGAGCCTGGCCTGGACACACCCAGCCTCAAGATGGACTTCCGCCTTCGCCACCGAGGTCACTTTGGGTGAGAAAAGGCGTTTCTGTGCACCGACGCCTGCTGGACACTGTAACCGTGACCCAGGCAGACAAGGCCTCTGTCTTGTTGATGATACACCAGAACTGCTCCGTAAACGCCAACATGCTCACGGTGCTAACCTTGGGCAGCGGGACTTCTCCCGACTTTTCAAAACAGGCAAGCCATTGCTGGGCGAGCCACATCAACTTATCCCAAAGTGCGTGCGTCCTAGACACTTGAGCAGCCAGGGTCTGTGGCTCTTCCTCCACGGCCTGGGAGGCGCTCAGCCCAGCAGGTGCAGCTCATCACAATTCCCAGCGACAGGAACGGCGGGGCGGGGGGCGTCGCCTCCCCACGAGCAGCCGCAACATCACCATCACAAAGCTGGCACGCGTGGAACGCGCAGGTGCCCGGGCCGCCGTCCTCGCCGCCCAGCGCGCCTGCCCAGCGCCGCGGAGCCCCGCCTGCGCAGGCGCGAGCGCCGGCTTCCGCTCGAGGCGGGGCGGGCGCGCCGGGTCCGGGAGGCTGTCCCGGGGTGCGCGCCCCCCGCCGGCGCCTCCATGGAGTCCCAGGCTGGTCGGGGCGTGGGCTGGGCCCGGGGGGCGGCCTCGGGGACCCCGGTGCCGCGGCAGGGGCAGGGGCCAGGGGCAGCGAGCCCCCGTGCTGTCGGAACCCCCCGCTTCCTGCTGTGTCTCTACCTGGTGGGCTTCTTGGTGAGTGCCAACGTTGGGGTCTGGGACTTTGGACCCTGTGGGACTTTTTCCCCCTACCTGCTATGGGAATGCTGCGGGGGAATGAGGAACTCAGCTGAGGCTGGGAATTCGTCATCTTCCGTTGCCAGTCTAGGCACATGACCCCGTCCTATCTGCACCTGGCCTTATTGGTACTCGTGTGTTCGGGTGGAAGCAGTCTGCTGCCCTTTGCCCCTTTTGCCCTTTGCCCCGCTGCCCTTTGCCCTCTGGCCACCCCGGAACCACCCTCAGGAATGGCTCCTGGAGCTAACCTCGCTGGAGAGCGAGCTCAGGTGTTCAGCGTTGAGCAGGTGCAGGGCTGGCTTGGCAGGTGGCAGGGGTCTCAGGCAGGCTTGGAAAGGCCAGGCCGATGCCCTGTGTGCTGCTGCCGTTTCTCTGCCAGTTTTCCATATGCTGTGTTTCATGGCCTTGGCTTGGGGCTGATCCAACAAGCCCAGTGTCAGTTTTTAATCACTTCGATAATCAAGTAAAGTAAGAAAGAAAAAAAAAAATCAGATTTCCAGGAAGTTTAAAGACAGTGAGATGTTTCTCATGCAAAATGCTTCTAATAATTAAAACATATGAGCTCTGTGTATCTTTGAAGTATTCAGTGACTGTTAGGTGATAGTACAGAATGCCGTGTACAGCTTAGCTGATGTTTTTGGTATATATGGAGATTAAAAAAAAAAATAAGACTTTTGGGAAGATCATTTCGGATCAGGAAAGAAGGAGGGCAGCTTCTGGAAGCCACTTGCCAGAATGGCTCTCCTCTGCCCTCCCAGGTTTCAGCTTGTTTCGTGGGAACCTGCAAGTGACTCTTTGACTTGGGTTTTGGGATTTGGTTTGGATTGTGCACATTGAAGCCAGTGATTTCAGCTCTGTCTTTCTGGCAGCCTGTGTGCAGTTTCCTCTGCTTTGCGGGGGCTAATTCATACTGATTGAGGTAGTCCAGCCTTCAGGAAATGGTGCAGTTGCTATCGCCAGTGCCTGCGTCAGCTTTCATGGAAGGATGCTCAGATGAAGGTTGAAGTGGCGACCTTTAAACTGGTTCCTTTATAAATGATTGCAAGCACACGACTTATTGGCCGATGCCAAACGGTGATTTTAAGGAAGTTACCCGGGAAGATAAGGAAGGGGTACCTGTATAGGGAAGCTGGCGATTGTGGAAGATTCCTGCAGGGAGGAGGCCAGAGACCAGCCTTGCTGGGAGAAGAGAATGCATTGCCACACTCAGGTTATGAGTCTGTGGGTTTTTTTTTTCTTTTAAAGATTTGATTTTTTATTGGAAATTTAGATATACAGAGAGGAGGAGAGACAGAGAGGAAGATCTTCCATCCGATGATTCACTCTCCAAGTGAGTGCAACGGCCGGTGCTGCGCCGATCCGAAGCCAGGAGCTCTTCTGGGTCTCTCACGCAGGTGCAGGGTTCCAAAGCTTTGGGCCGTCCTCGACTGCTTTCCCAGGCCACAGGCAGGGAGCTGGATTGGGAGTGGGGTCACTGGGATAGAACCAGTGCCCATATGGGATTGCGATGCATGTAAGGTGACTTTAGCCACTAGGCTACCACGCCGGGCCCATGAGTCTGTTTTCATACCTACCTTCCATAGATTGCAGCCTATTGATTGGAATACTTCTCTCTCACCCTTAAAACAGTAATTGAACATTAAGTGACATGTGCTGGGATGATTTTTAAGATCTTGCAATTGACCCTTGGTGAAAGAGCCAGGAGACTCATTTAGTTGCTTATGTGTTAGGACTCAAAACAAAGCAAAACTTAGCTTAGGATTTTTTTTTTTTTAAGCAGGGTCTTTATTTGAAAAAAGAGGGACAGACAGAGATCGGGAGGGGAGAGATCTTCATCGGCTGGTTCACTCACCAAGTAGCTGCGTCCGCCAGGGCTGGGCCTGCGTCTCTGATGTGGGTGCAGTAGCACAAGCACTCAGATTCCTTCCGCCACTTTCCCAGGCGCACCAGCAGGAAGCTAGATCAGAAGCAGAGCAGCTGGGATGTGAATTAGCCCCTAAATGGGATGCTGGCATGGTAGGCAGTAGCTTAACTCACTGTGCTATAATGCTCACCCCAGAAATATTAAGTACTCATATATAAAATTAAAATAATAAACCATACGTCTGGTAGTGCAAGTTTGTGAGCTATTGAAGATAAGTGATTTTTATTTTAAAAATTCATTTCTTTATTTGAAAGTCAGAACTAGAGACAGAGAGACAAAGATATTCCGTCTGTTGGTTCATAATGCAGATGGTTGCAACAGGCACGGCTGGGCCAGGCTCAAGTCAGGAGCTTTCTCTGGATTTCCTACTTGGGTGCTGGGGACTCAGATCATTGGTCCATCTCTGCCTCCTGTTTCTAGACCGTAAGTCTAGAGAGCTGTGTCAGGGTAGAGCAACTAGGATGCGAAGTAATGCCAGTGTGGATGCCACCATCACCCTTACCTGCCAACACAGCTGTTTCACTCACTGTGTCACAGTAATGGCCCAGGAGATCACTGAATTTTAGGATATATGTCCCCTGAAGAAGTAATTACAGAAAACGAGCACCAACGTGTAGCTTGAAGTCCATGTTTTTATACTCATGTGAATTCACAGCTACTGGCTCGGGGAAGCACAGTACTAACCTGTGTCTAAGTGAAATCTGTTTCATGTGTGTTTTGCTTCAACAGGGTTTATAGCAGAAGGAACTCAGGTTGAATATAGAGAAAGCTATGTGTGGATAATATGTTTTCTGTCCCCCCTGAACTGGATGTAGCAGGTAACTAAATAACAGAATGAAATGTAAAACAAAACCAAACAAAAATCAGTCTTTATTAACTCAGTATATTAGCAAAAAGGATTCATCCTTATCCCAAGACTCAAGAAAAGAGCTTGAGCTTCTGTATTGTGCCAAACATTTCTTCCCATTGTGCTTTAGCAGATTCCCATTGTGCTAGGCAGATATTATTATTAACAAAGCTGGAGTTGAGAATTAGCTGTCTGACCCCAATAACCATGTACTTTCTGTGGCTGAATTATAAAATGATGGCCTTCCCCACAGAAGAGCCTCTCACTTGTCTGAGATATTCTTCTTGTGTAATGCTTTGCTGAGAGTGTGAGGCAAAGCTGCCAGCACATTAGCTACCTTTTCTAACTCTCAGGGGTTTCCTGACCCAGAGACCCCCAAAATCCCTGAGGGGTGAGGCAACAGCAGTAAGAAGCACAGGAGACAGTCTAGTCAGGCGTGTCTGTTTATTATAAAGCCTGCACAAATTTATATAGACTAGAAAAGGGCAAGGCAGAAAGGCATCTCCTGACAGTCCCCCCACCCTCCAATGGCGTTGTAATTGGCTAAAAGGCATGTCTGTCTCTCTGGACCCTCCAGTCATGTAATAGGTCACATACAACACTTTTGGCTGGCAGGTATGCCTCAGGTCATGTTCACCTCATGTGGCTGGCAGGTAGGCTGTGGGTCCCACTTGCCTTTTCATAGTTGCTATCAAAGAAGTCCCAGCACAGCTCATCCAAGGGCAGAGAAGAGACTGTATGGCCAGTGGTCAGGCCAGTTTGAGGTCTTGGTGAGCCAAGACCATTGTCAGGGGGTTCCCCTGGGACACAGTGTGTCCTGTACCTTTAGCCTCCCACACAGGCCCAGCAGGTAGAGGTCCAGGGGCCATCTCCCACATCTAACTACAGAAGAGTTATTTCTTTACTAAGCAGATCTCTTAGCCGTCCACTGGTTTACTCTCCAAATGTCCATTGTAACAGCTGAAGCCAGAAGCCTGGCCCCCCATAGTGAGTGGAAGGAACCCCAGCATTGGAGTCTCCACTCTCAGGGTCTGGATCCACAGGGAGCTGTTCAGGAGTCAGAGCTGGGAAACGGGCCCAGGCACTCCACTGTGGTGTTTCACCTGCTAGGCCAAGCACCCGCTCCAAAGATTGTTCATTCATTGTGAGCATGTGGTGCTTCCCCGCTAAGTTTGAATTTCTCTCCCTCCTTTACTTACCGATCTCTCTCTCCCATTCACAGAGAATAAGAAATGTGTTTTCTTGTGTACTTTGGGCACAATTTGCAGCATGTCCTGTTTGAAAGTTGACAGTCATAAAGATGCCAGAGTTCAAATGCATCCTACCGAATGGTAACTCAGGGGTTTATAAGTGGCAACAAGATTAGCATGAGGTACTATAGAATATATAGTGTGAAAACTTATTTTTTTGCAGAATCTTAGGTGCACTTTTATTTGAAAATATCATCATGGTTTTAGAGATACCATTTTAAAGATGCCCAGGTCATGGCTAAGCTAATCTGTTTGTTTTTAGGATTTATTTGGCGTCAGCATGGTTGTCCCTCTACTGAGCCTTCATGTCAAGTCCCTTGGAGCAAGTCCAATAGTTGCTGGAATAGTAGGTGAGTGGGTAATACTGCTTCCTTTCAGAGTGCTCGATTTTAAATCCCTGCACCAAGTACCCAAAACAGCTTAATCTTACAGGAAATTTAAACGTATTAACCTGCAACAATTCTTTCCCAGATTTAGTCCTTTTCCTAGACTCCCTTTGTTCAGAGAGCTTTTGAAATGTAAGCGTTGTTTCCATTCCCCGATACTGGTGCTTACTGATTCCGTTCAAGAAGCTGGCTGTGCTCATTGAAAGGTACATACTTGTGCCTACAGGATCTCTAGCCTGGTGTGAGAGACCAAATAATGTACAGAAATCACAGCCGTAGGAAATGGCTGGGGTGAATCTTGGCAACTCAGTTGGAAACTTCCCTCACCACTACCATCCTTTCTTAGGAGCCTAATGGGTTTTCCTGTTTGTATGGCATAGAAATTCTACCCAGAAGCCATTGTTTCACAAAAGGGATAGAAAATCACAAAGCCTAAAGCTGTGTAATTTCATTAGAAATTGTTAAGGTGGACAGTCCTTGTTACGATTTGGACAAGTGAAAGTAGCGAGCCAGTTTGGTACACAGCTGCTAACCTGGTCGGTGCCGTCATCTGTGTTGTCCAGCAAAGGATGCTAAGAATTTTCTGGACTGTTTGGCAGCAGCATGGTGGTGAAAAGGGCATGTTATACAATCATCGAAGTACAAGGCCTATGTCACAGTTTGTTATTTATAAAGTTAAAAAGTATTTTGTAAAATTTTAGAGATATAGAAAATGATAACTTTTTAAAGTTTTATTTTTGATGATGTTTATGAAGTTGATTAGGGTGGAAAGAATTGAGGATTAGGGGAAGGTGGTTAAAACCACTGTTTCCAAATTGTATTTTTCTTCTTTCTGTATCAGGGGGAAAGAAGGGGAGAAGCCACACTCAGCCACCCAACTGCCTCAGTACCCGGGGATGGGGAACAGCTACCCATGGTCATCCCAGGGTTCCACTTCTGCTCAAGTGGTTTTGATAGTTTGGAAATGCTGTTGATCTTGCTGACCCAAGGATAAGGAAATAAATCCCTGGTCCACTGGTTGTCATAGTCCACCTTAGAGTCTCCATTCACCCAGATATTTGCTGCCAACACTTAGCTGGGATGCTTGACCAATTTGTTCTGCCTTCCTTCTTCCACCGTGGTACCAGATGTCCTCTGCAGGCCCCGTTGGACTGCCACGTCCTCCATGTATATTTGGGCCTGCCGAGCACAGCTCCATGTAAGCCACTGGGAAGGCCCGGTTCTGACACATGCACTCCACAACCAGACCACAGATCTTACAATTCCCCCCACTGGTTGGAGTTCTGATTTCAGCAGTTCAGTTGGGAGGATCCCTGAAGAAACCTCATCTGAGGTGATCCCAGACCTGATTACTGTGTGTGCTTGCGAGTACAGGGTTTGGCTCAGTCTGTCACCTACATCAGCCTATACACGCACTGCTAGTTGCAATTTCTGAATCAGTTCTATTTCCAGCCTCATCTCTTACACAAACCACTGGGTATCACGGCCCAGCCAGACCCTGCCCACCACACACTTGGCCCTCACATACACCAGTGGGAATTACAGCCTACTTAGAGCAACCCCCAATAACTCCCACCAGGCCCACCCCCCACCCTGTATCCTGTGCTTGCAACAAACTGGTCCAGTCTGTCTCACACCCCATTCAGCTTCCATGCACATCAATGGGCATTGAAGCCTAGCTCAACCCAACCAACACCACTATCCATCCCACACTCATGCCAGCAGATGCAACTGCCTGTCTAGCCAGGCCTACCCCCAACCCTGGTACTCATGTTCACCAGTGGGAGTTGCAGCCCATCAGAGAGGTGCCTGCTCTTTACATACTGGATCTACTTCTAGTCCCGAATCTTGCACCTTCCAGGTGATTCTGCAGTCTAGCTTGACAGTACTTTCCCCCAGTCCCAGCACTTACCAGTTGATGCTGTGGCAAAGCCCACCCAGCTTGCACTTACTGTGGCTCATGCATGCACCAGTGGATACAGTTACTTAGCTCAACCTGATCTCCCCCTAACTGAGTTCACATGCAGGCCAATAGATGTTGTAGCCCTGCCCAGCCTAGTCTGTTCCTGGTTGCAGTTCTCACACTCACCAGTAAGAGCAGTGGCCCAGTAGGAAAGCTCCCTACTGTCCCCAGTAGGACAGTCCCCCTCCTGGGCTCATCCACTTCCTCACCCTTGTCTCTTGAGTACTGGTAGATACTGCGACCCAGCCTGGCTTGGCCCATCTCACCTCGGCATTTGCTGGTGGGTGCTGTAGTCAAACCTGGCCTGGTTTGCCCCCAGTTCCAGCTCATGCTGCTGGTTGCTGCAGCCCAATCAGCCCTCAGCCCTACACCCAGTGTGAACTGGTTTGTGTTGAGGCCTGACCTGATGAGTCCTGTACCCCATCCTGGTTCTCTGATCTGCTAGTATGTGTCATGAACTGGCCCAGCCTGGCCTATCCCCATACCTGACCCATATGTATGCTGGTGGGTACCGTAACCTGGCCTGGTCTGGGCTGCTCTCTATTTTGGTTCTTGAACTCACCTGCAGGGACTGCAGACAACAGAGTTTCCCCAGGCTGCTCTAATAGGTCTCTTTCCCATGGCAAATTTTGTGTACACTGTGGATCCTTGGCCAAAGTTGACGTTGTCCAACTCTTGTCCTGGCAGGGATAGTGGACTCGCCCAAATGGCCCAAACCCAATCTAGTTCTTACTGTTGGGTGCTATAGACCAGCTGCGCCTGGTCCACACCTAGCTCAGTGTGTCACTACCCCCAGCTATTAAACAAACCAGCATAAATTGCATTTGCACAGGGGTGAACCCACATATCCCCAGTATTGTCTGTCACCAGATCAGATTCTCTTGTGTGCTGATTAGTGTCATGGCTTAGCCTAACATGACCTGTACCCTATTCTGACCCTCACTGATGGGTACTATGATATAACCCTGCCAAGTAGGCCCCCAGCCCTGCCTTTAATGTGCACTGGTGAGTGCTGGTCGGCAGTGCTCCATGCTAACTAGCCCAGCTCAGGTCTCCCACGTGGGCTGGTGCATTGATCTGACCCATAAAGGTCCTCCAGCTTCCCACCAATACATTGCTCAGTCTCACTCTTACCTACAAATGCAGTGTCCTTGTTGATGCAAGTCCCTCAGAAATCATTCCTCACCTGCAACATACTCCTTCAGCACTCCTCCTTCCCACGCATCTCCTTACCCCCTTTTCTGATCAGTCCATAATCCCTGTGCCCAGGAGCGCATGGGTTCTGCAGCCCAGTCTTCCGAAGCCCATTGTTCCGATGGGGTGATATGCTAGGTTGGTTTTTGATGCAGGTGGACCGGGCAGGGCTGGGCCAAACCTTACCCCACTAGCCTGTGCAGGAGCCAGGCTGGAGCGCGGGTCATGCCAGGGGCTAGGTTAGCACACCCACTGGTTTGCATGAGCCAGGGACAGGAGCAGATTGGGCTGCAACACCCACTAGCGAGAGTTGGGACTGGGGCTGGCTAGGACAAGCCTGACCTTTGCCTGCTCACTAGGGTCCCAAGCTTGTGGCACATGTGCTTGCCTGGGACCTTACCCCGCCACGCACCCAAGATCCCGGCCCATTCAAAGTACCCAAGCCTGGTCCACTAGCACAGCAGGCTAGCATGCCAACCTAGAGCTCTCCTTTCCTCTCCTTCTATCCCACCAAGGACCAAGCATGGGGGAAATCCCCAGGCTCACTCTGCCTGCCTGGGCCTGGGTGTCCAGGTCCCTGCAAGCCCGCTGCTCAGCCACCCCTGCAAAGCACAAAGGCACCCGGGCCCCAACTGACAGTGTTAACTTGTAAGACAGAATCTATCTGGGGTTCATATTTTCACTCCCCTGAGTAATCCCTACAGATGTGAAAGTCGTAGTCATTTGGTTCTCACACGAAGGACCGGCTCCGCAGTCCCTAGGGTCACCCCTTGCCTTTATTCTCACTTCCGCCACCTCTCCATTTTATTCTAAATACATTTTACTAACCATTTCATGTCTTAATTTCTTCCAGCTAGGTAAAAAAAAAAAAAAAGGTTGGGATAATTTCCTTCTGATTTTTTCCAAGATTAATTAGTTTATTTGAAAAACAGAGTGACAGGGGGATCTTGCATCTGTTGGTTCGTGTCATGGATGAACCCTGACACCCAGGGCATGGGCAGGCTGAAGCCAGGAGAAGAGTACTCCAGCTGTGTCCCCTTGTGGGAGGGCATGTCAGCAGGACCTCTGCCACCCTCAGCTGCTTGCCCGGGGACATTCCCAGGGAGCCACATCAAAATCCGATATGGACATCCTGAGTGCTGTCTGAATCCGCTGTGTCACAACACTAGCCCCCGTTTCCTTTTTTTTTTTTTTTAAAAAAGGCCTTTTCCTCCTCTGTATCTTTCCTCTTCTCTTGCTGTTACCATGTTGTCCATCTGGGGCCATGTCTAGCTGGTTTTGTTGACCTCCAGTTCTGTTCTTTTACAGGGTCCTCCTATGGCATCTTACAACTATTTTCAAGTACGTTGGTGGTAAGTGCTTGTCCATCTGGTCACCTGTCTTGGAAATACAGTCTTATGCCTCTGAGTGTCCACCTTCATAGCTATCTAAAATTTAAGTCTCAAAGTCCGCCAAACAGAAGCAGCAGGTGCAGAGATGATCAGAATGTACATAATTAGATCAAAAGGATCTTTCCCCCTCTGTCTTCCACGTGTGACCAAGGAAAAGGCACAGGCCAACAGGGCTTAGATGACTAGTCCCGAATCGAACACTGACTCAGTGATGGATTAAGAACAGTTGCTGCTATAATTGCTGGGAACCTTTCTACTGCAGACAGCCATGAAAGCAGAAGTATTACCAACTGTACTCTGGTTCTTAACTGACAGCAAATCCATTTAGATTTGTAGGTTCTTTGTGAAGTTGTGCATGACGAATGGCATGCTTTATTGTTTAAAAAAAATAAAAAGACTTAAGTGAGCCTGGCATAATAGCCTAGTGTCTGAATCCTCATTTGGCGTATGCTTGGATCCAATGTGGGTGCCAGTTCATGTCTCAGCTATTCCACTTCCCGTCTAGCTCTCTGATTGTGGCCTGGGAAAGCAGTGGAGGACAGCCCAAAGTCTTGGGGCCCTTCAGCTGCATGGGAGACTCAGAAGAGGTAACTGGCCCCTGGCTTCGGATCAGCTCAGCTCCAGCCATTGTGGCCACCTGGGGAGTGAACCAGCAGACGGAAGATCTTTCCATCTCTTTTTCTCTCTTTTGTAAATCTGTCTTACCAATAAAAATAAATACATCCTTAAATTAAAAAAGAAAAAGGACAAGGGAGTCTTTAGGAATGATTTGCTGTTTAATTGCTCCATGGAATAGAAAATTGTGGAGGTGATGCTGTCACACTCCTGCTCTGACCTCCCCGCTAGGACTTGAGAAACATGAAGTGACCTTGTTCTGTCGGTGTGGCACCTCTGATCTGAAGATGCTGGTGCCCAGCGCCGCACAAGCCCAATAGGACAGCCAGTCGGGTCTCAGAGGTTAATCATTAGTGACCGTGGAACCGAGTGGCTGGCACAGAGTCCTCACAGTGCTTGATCACACTGTTGATCTACTGCTCTGAGTTTCCCAAGTTGCTTTCTGGTAAAATATGTTTGTAAAAGAAACTTGATCAAATTGCACAGTGACATCTTGGATAAGTATGCAGTTCCCTCCCTGATTTGTGTTTAAGATGGTAAATAGTTACTTCCTGCTTTGTGTTTTCTATTTAGGGTAACAATAGTCATGTTGTTAAGCTTTATAGTTGTCTAGCAAAGTAGTTTAGTATCACCCTTTTAAGAAGAAAAGTAATGAATTGTGAGGAAATTGATTCACAGAGTTTAAATACTTCAACTAAGTACCAGATTCAGCATCCAGATGCTAAACCCTTTTTTCCCCCTAAACATCATCTTACATTATAATGAAAGAAGCAAGTGGGTAACAAGCTATCAGATGATATAGGAAAGTAGGACACTTGCTTGGGAGGTATGATGTTTTATTTCACAATCTTGTGAGAGAAAAATTTAGAATGTTTGAGATACACTTTTTATGCCTTATTTGGCATAAAAGTACTTAGTACCTAAAGTACTTGGTGTGTGGTAAAGTTCCTGTTAGGCCTTAATAAATGTTAGTCATTCTGGTGCTTTTCTCCTACGGGACTCTAGCCTTGGAAATAAAGCTCACACTTGATATCAAAGTACTTGACACAGAATTATCATTGTATGTGTGCAAAGTTGTGTTGCCAACTGTAATCCACCCTCTCCAACTGATCCTTTGTTGAGTTCTGTTTGTTGTTTACAAAGTACTCTCCATACAGCTACAAGCTAAGTTTTAATGACAATCTTAAACCCTTATAAATCCTTCCTATAGAGAAATATCTATTTTCTTTGTAACAAATACTTTTATGAATTCATTTTTAATGATCAGTTTTGTAAAGAACCATTTTCGAGGGCATCATGTGTCATGTGACTCAGAAGATATGCTTCGGTTAGAACACTGACATCTGATCTTGTGGTGCCTGGGTTGCGGCCCAGCTCCTGGTGCCAGGAACCTGGTGGTGCAGTCCCTAGCAGCAGGCTGGAGTGGTTAGGTCCCCTCCATTCAGTTGGGAGACCTGGATTGAGTGCCTGGCTCTTGGCATAAGCTCAACCCGGTCCCAACCATGGTGGGTATTCGAGGAGTAAATCCATGGGTGGGAGTTCTTTCTCTGTCTGTTCCCCCTTATCCCCACCAAAGGAATCGAATTTTAATACAACTGACTACTGTTGATTAATATATAATTCAGTTCCTGTGTCTGGCTCTGTTCTGAGCAGTTGATGTCAGTCAATGTTCGTAGAACTATCCAGAGAATATGGTTGTGGGTCTTTCATGACTGATTTCATATTAAACACTTAGTGAAGGCTAGTAGGAGCTTTCAGGCAGGTGCTGTTCCTGTTTTACTGATAGAGAAACTGACACTGAGAAAGATTAACACGTCCAAGGCCACGAAGCAGGGGCTAAGAGCTCAAAACGTTGAACCTAAGCGACCTGACCAGGTTGTAAAGGCAGCGTAACCAGGCAGGCACAAGGGAGTCTGTGTCTCCTCCGACTTCTCCGGATCAATCTCTAAAGCCCGTTGAAATGAAACTTGGGGAAAGCATAGATGGCATGTGTAGCAGTGCAATTAGTGCATAAACTAATGGAGACACTTGTAGAATGAGCTGTAAGCAGAAAATGTATTTAGGTTGGCCAAGGCAAAAACAAGGAACCAGGCTCCCTGAGCAGTGGAGAATTAACAGATTTTATGGAGTTCATTTTTAGGAGACTCATGCATAATATTCATTATTTTTGAGGAAGTCCTGGCAAAGTTTGTGAGTGTTTAGAAAGGGACGGGCACTCTCAGCTGTCCTCCAGGTCATTGTATATGTTTCTTATATCTCATGTTGAGGGCTCACATTTAACATTAAGGTGGGGAGTTGTGGGGTTTTTTTGTCAGTAAGGCGAAGGTGAAGCTATCCTGGAGCTCTCTGCCCCCCTCTGCACAGGCTTCCAGAACGCCATGGTTGCCACAGACCCTGTGCCTTCATGGTTGGAAGCATCAAACACTGAGCTGGATCTCCAGCCAGTCAGCGCCTCACATCCACCTGCACCAACACCTGCTTCTCCTGGAGCAGGATTTAGTTGACGTTAGGGCATTGAGAGTGAAAAGGATTGTTAGAAGGCTAACAATTTTTTTTTAAGAATTCACTCTGAGCTTTTTGTTTTTATTTGTGTATGTGTGTGTTTCTGAATGTGGTGGTGGGTGGGTGGGATGTGTTGTGTAAAAGCTACTTATTCGAAAGGCAGAGTGAACGAGATCTTGTTCCGTGTTGGAGTTGCAGGCTGCATGTTAAGCCTGCTGTGCCCACTGTTGTGCTGCACCCCTCCAGTGTGTCATGGTGGAATTTTAAGACAGTTAATAATCTTAAGTAATAACAACAACCTTAGGGCACTTCCACAAAGAGAAATCTATCAGTAAAAATAGAGAAAGTGCAGGAATGGACATAGTTAACTTTTTGTTTTGTTTTAAGATTTATTTTTATTATTTTTTTATTGGAAAGGCGGATATACAGAGAGGAGAGACAGAGAGGAAGATCTTCCGTCTGATGATTCACTCCCCAAGTGAGCGCAACGGTCGATACTATGCCGATCCGAAGCCAGGAGACTCCTCCGGGTCTCCTACACGGGTGCAGGGTCCCAAAGCCTTGGGCCGTCCTCAACTGCTTTCCCAGGCCACAGGCAGGGAGCTGGATGGGAAGCGGGGCTGCCGGGATTAGAACCGGCGCCCATATGGGATCCCGGGCGTGCAAGGCGAGGACTTAACCACTTGCGCCACCGCTCCGGGCCCCATAGTTAACTTTTAAACAAAAAGTGGCAGGCCAAGGGTCTGTAGTTAATTGGAGGGGATAGAGAAAGCACCCCTGGAGCTAGACTGAAGAATGAAGAAGACGGGAAACATTCTCAAGCCACCTGCCGGTGAGGACTAGCAGAGACCAGAGAGGAGCACATTGCTTAGGACCCAGGGGTCACCCAACACTGGGAACCCTCTTTTTGATCCTTCTAGGTAAGACTTGTTTGCTATCATAGTGCTTAGTGACTTTTATTTTAAAGCACTTGCAGGTTTTCTTGCAAACTCGGTTTGCTTGTGTAGCTTGGGTCAGAAGGTTGTCGGGGTGCACCTGGGTGCCTTGGTTTGGCTGGTTCTGCCTATGGATACATAGCCCTTCCAAAGCCAGACAAGGCAGGGAAGTTGCAGTGCAAACATCCTGAATGGCCACCAGAGGGCCCCATGCTGCCGTCTCACTGCCCTGCCACCCTTAGCCAGACAACTGCACAGCCTACAGCACCACAGGAATGTCCTAGCCAGGAACTCAAGAGGAGGAAAAGCAAAAGCCGGTCAGCCACCACCCTCTATCGCTTTAAAAAAGATTTATCTTTTTTTAAAAAAAATTTATTGGAAAGTCAGATATACAGAGAGGAGGAGAGAGAGAGGAAGATCTTCCATCTGTTGATTCACTCCCCAAGTGACTGCATCGGCTGGAGCTGAACTGATCCAAAGCCAGGAGCAAGGAGCCTCTTCCTGGTCTCCCATGTGGGTGCAGGGTCCCAAGGCTTTGGGCCATCTTCAGCTGCTTTCCCAGGCCAGAAACAGGGAGCTGGGTGGGAAGTGGGGTCACTGGAATTAGAACCAGCTCCCATATGGGATCCCGGCATGTGCAAGATGAGGACTTCAGCCAAGGGTTCCACACCAGGCCCCCTCCACCACTTTTCTTTTCTTTTTTTTTTTTATTGTTGCTTACATTGTATTATGTAGTACAGTTTTATAGGCGCTGGGGATTCCCCCCACCCCTCCACCACTTTTCAATGAACTTTTCCAGAAGCTTCTCTAGGTGACTTCATCTGCCTCTGCCAAATCTTAACAGGAGGCTTGTTTTTGTTGTTGCTTTTGTTTTGTTTTAGTTTTTTTAGTGAGAAGTTTTGCTACAGTTTATGGAGAAAGTTCAAGGAAAGACCATGCAAGAGATCAAAGCAGAGTCCTGTCGCCCTTGGCTGGCTTCGTCCCACCAGGTGCCCCTGCTCCGTCCCTGCACACGTTAGAACCACACACCACCGAGCTCCATCGCTGTGCCCTCTGTCATTGCCCTGGGCACCTCAGCTTCCACTCCGTGTGGCTGTTTTTTCTCTCTCTCTGTGTGCCCCACATTCCCCCTCTCAGAGAGGCTCTGAAAGCAGGTGCAACCTCTGTCCGTCAGGCAGGCCTTTCCCTAGTGGGCAGGCTTTCCTGTGGCCGCCTCTGGAGTCTGGCTGAATATCCTTTCTTGAGCACAGGATGGCTCAGAAGGGAGCCCGTGCCCGTCAAGACCCTCAGGCCTCCCAGCTGTGGCGACTGGAACTGGCAGACTCACTTAGTTGCTTGCTTTTCTCGAGAGAACATGCAAACAGTTCACCAGTTACAAAGGGGGAAGGAAAACTAATGTGAGAAAAATCTGCCACTTAAGACATTTTGTGCCTTTTTTCTTAAATTGATGGAAGACAGAGCTGTTTGCCTTATGGAGAAACCAAGAGTCGCTTGATTATACTGTTGTTGAGACTATAGATCTTACTGAGGAGTTATTTCTCTATGTATGTCAGAGGCCTCAACACCAAATAAACTGTAATTGTCTGATTCTAGGGATTTATTCTGAGTACATTTATAAAAAGTGTTGTATTACTTATCAGAGCGTGATTTGTATTTGGGACAAATTTAAAAGAACTGAATTAACCACATGTAGACTAATTGAGTCGCCATCAGCTCATAGTAGGATATGGATTGTAACTCAGAACAGCAAAGGCAAGTTTTTAATGACTTGAAATGGTGTCCAAATCACGTCCAATGAAGAGGCAAGTAAGAAAATACAGTGTACTTGTATGACCATTTGGTTCCAAAGAGATAGATTTGGGATCGTGAGTTATTTTGATATGCTTCATTTTATTTTTTCAGAATTTTCTAGATTTCCAAACACTAAACATTGTTTCTGGGGATTATCTAAAGAAATGAGAATGAAGATTAAGGCTTTAGAAGTTAGACAAGGACCTTCAAATGGTTAAGAAAAAAAAAAAGAATTCAGATATTAAGAAGTGACAGGTTAAACTGAGTGGAAAATGACTTTTAAATCCAAATGGAGCACGTTCATGGTGTGCTTTGCATGAACTTAAGACCCCTGATGATTTGTGTTTCCGGTTGATCTCAGTTCCTAGGTGACCGGGCTTTGATTCAGGCAAGGAAAACTGCACTGTGCCTTGCTACTGCCTTGTGGGTAGACCAGAGAAACCTAATTCCAGCAAAATGGAGCTGAGCGGCCAAGAACTTGAAACCGAATAGCCTGCCATTTTCCACTGGTCACTTTGTATTGTTGGGCGTTTGCCTAGTTGCGGGTTGTTACCGAAAAGTGGGTCAAAGGGCTATCTCGGTGGCTTCCCCCAGGGCTGCTGGAGCGACGTGGTCGGAAGACGCTTCTCCCTGCTGCTCTGCATCCTGCTCAGCGCGCTGGGTTATCTCCTCCTGGGAGCTGCCACCAGTGTGTTCCTGTTTGCTCTGGCTCGGGTCCCTGCAGGTGAGTCCTGGTCCCTGTGCGTGTGCATGCCGTAGGTCAAAAGAAGTCCATCCCTGAAGCCGATGTCTGCTGAACATGGCCTCTTAGATCAGGTTTCCAGGAAGGCGCCGTCATGGCCACAGCTCTTACGATGATGACTGTAAGGGCAGCAGCTGTGCATGGGGCTCTTAGGGTCGGGCAGATGCTCCGTCTGCAAGGACCACCCTCGTACTTAGCAGAGCTCAGAGTCCATTCATGTGAGTAGCACTGTGCCTGCATGAAGGCCTGTCTCCTGCCTCTGGTGCGCTCTGCATTCTCTCAGTAAAAGTACGTTTGATGTTTCTGGCCAGCAGTGAGATTACAGGAGTGTGTAGCTTTATCAACAGGCTTCCCAGCATCAAGTTGGGATTTGTCTCCACAGGTGGGATCTGAACTGTGCTTGGTGGGTAAAGGTTGCCCGTGGAAGTTCCTCATTGCCCCATCTGCCCTTCTGAGCAATCACAGCCCTGACTCATACTGTGTCGCATCTGGCCTTCCCCAGGAAAGCACACACACATTTCCCTGCTTCCGCCTGCCCGTGTGAGGCACCAGCTGTTTGCCTACATCCTGTTAAGATGCTCCTTCCAACCTACCCCCCAGATGAGGAGAATGTACAGTGCAGCACAGAATGGTGTGGTCATTTGGGATTTCTACACCATTTCTGTCACGTATGTTGCACACTTGGCGAAGAGCTCATTCTTCAGAATTGAAGTGCTTCTGAAGCAGGGCACTCATCCTCGCAGACCCACCTCTGCGCTCAGAATCCCGCAGAGTAGATGCCCAGTGTGCGTGGGATGTCGAGCCTGTTGTGTGTTCTTGGTGTGGTTGGCTATGTGTCTTTTCATAATAGTTCACTCTACCAGTCCATGCTTTATACTGTTCATCATTCTGAAGATGCACATGGCAATGAATAAAAACCTACAAAATGGATAGAGATTTCTGGGGACGATTAAGCTTTGTAATATTTAATATGAAGCGTGTCAGTCTTGTCTAAGTAGCAGTGGTTCCATGATTGTGGTAACCAGGGGAGTGAACCGTAGGATTTCCTGTGGGTGGGCATTTTGACTAATGAAAACGCCCACTGGGACACCTTCAACCTGTAGTTCCTGGGTGCCAGTCTTGGCTCTGCTCCTGATTCCAGGTTCATGTTAATGTAGACCCTGGGAGGCTACAGGCAAAGACCTCAGTGATTGGGTCCCTGCCACCCGAGTGGGAGACTTGCACTGAGTTCTCGGCTCTGAGCTGACCCAACCCTGGCCACTATGGATATTTATGGATTAGACAGTGGGAATGCTCTCTCTCTCTCACTGTGTTTCTCTGCCTTTCATCTAAACTTAAATAAAAATCCCTTCTCGTCCACTAGCCCCCAGTGTGCTGGCTGACCCCTGAACAATAGGAAGCCCAGGTGGGGGCAGATTCCGCTGCACACATTCTTTTGTGCCTCCATAGCCTTGTGTCTGACAATGAGTCGCTGCCTTTTAATGTGCCTGGGTAGCCCCTCCCCTCTCTGTCCACCACTCCAACCACAGAATTACAAGGAAACCCTCCAAGTTGTTCATGTGGCACTGCTGCCATCGTCTGCCTTCCTCACGTGCAAGGTAGCATATCCTGCCATGTAAGATATCAGTCATTGTCTCAGAGTTGCCCTGAGACATCTTGAGCATTCCCCCCCTAGCCCGTTTCATTCGTCACTTAAGGGAGCAGGTATAGACAGAGGCAGGCTACCTATAAAGGATAGCTAAACTGCTCCCCAAGAGGCTGGCTGATAGGTGCCCACTTACACTGGCTTCCATGCAGAGCTGAGAATACCCAGGACTACGGCAGAGTTGGACTGCCTCCAGAAGATCAGCAGAACCCCTTGTGTCACCTTACCGTTGGTGACTAAGGAAGACCCACCGGCAACACGTACTGTATTCAGCTCTGTGTTCTCAGGAGCCTCAGTGGTTATTCCTTCCTTGGCGTCTGTGTGCGTGGGCGTCACATACATATGCAAAAGCATGAGAATAAAGTTGCTACATACACTTTAAATGCCCACCAAAAGTCCCGTGACAGCTTTGAGTTCACTTGTGGAAAACCAATTGGTATTTATCATATGGCAGTGCTGTGAAACCTGAAATGAATGACCAAGAGATTGATGTTTTAGAATAAAAGTTTGTTCAGGAGCAGCAGCAAAGGATTGCAGCCCAGGCTAGAAGAGACTGCAGAGGACAAAGTCTTGTGAGTTGCTTTGAGACAATTTTCATCTGTTCCCAGCCTTCACTCTAGGAGTTGGTGGTCACTCTTTAGTAAGTCTTGGTTGTGAAAAGGAAACATCTTCAGAGAAACGGCTTCTCTGGGAACTTTTCTAGTTTCTGGAAGCGCAGGCATGCCCTTCCTTCATGGCCTGCCATCTGCATCTTGTTTGGGCTTGCCAGAAGTACTTCCGTTTTGGTACTGACAACTTCCTCTCTCTGTGCTCTTCCCTGCTGTTTCTCTCAGTCACCTTTCTCACATCCTGCTGTACACCCGGTGGAAATCCAGGCTCTGTCGCGTCAGGGGGAGGGCATTTTTTTCTTTCTTGCTTTATCTCTAAGGTGCTGAGCACACCAAAAGAACACCGTGACTTACGTTTGTTTTCTTTTAAGTAAGCAAATGAATGAAGAATGAAAACTTTGTTAAGGAGGACTGGAGACATTGGAACATTGTGGTAGTCTGAAGGCTTAAGAGCAGTAAGGGGATGGATTAGAATCATGGCATGTAGAAGCCCAGTTCCCACAGGATGGAAGCTGCAGGCCACAGCAACTCAGAGAAAACCAAGGTCAGAACTCCAGCACGGACAGAGAGCAAGCGCCAAGTCGCAAGGAAGATCCTTCCGTTCTGGAGAAAGTGACAACACATTTCTTGTCCCCTTGCAGGTATTTTTAAGCACACACTGTCCATATCAAGGGCTCTACTCTCGGATCTGGTGGCAGAGAAGGAGCGGCCACTGGTGCTTGGGCGGTTCAACACGGCTTCCAGCGTGGGCTTCATCTTGGGCCCCATGGTCGGCGGCTATCTCACTGAATTAGACGGCGGATTTTATCTGACAGCCTTCATCTGTTTTTCTGTCTTCATGCTCAACGCTGGTAAGTTGATGCTTAATCTGGACAAGGTTGTTCTGCATACACGTATTGCCAGCTTTTTTCTCTGTTGTGCTCAGAGTGGGCAGCCTCAGTCACAGAAATTCCAGATTGTGATGAGGAGCCTGCTGTTGGTGTGCGTAGTGTCTGGGCTGCTTTCTGTTCCTGGCAACTGTGTGCCAGAGCTTCCCCTTTCTCCTCATCCTCACTGGCACCTCTTACAGAGAATGGTCCTTCCAACAGGTTTGAGCTGAGGTCGCATTTCGTAGCATTGGGCCATCTTCCATTACTTGGCCCAGATCAAAAGTGGAGCAGCTGGGACAGGAACCAGTCCCTCTATGAGATGCCAGAAACGCAGACAATAGTTTTACCCACTACTGCCAGCCTCTCTGCCTAGCGCTTCTGAAATCCCATTATTAAATTGTCTTCTGGACTCCGGATTCTGCTTGTTTCTCTTGCCCCACACTTACAGTAAGCAGACTAATTAAGGAGAGGGATTTGGTCGTGTTCGCTCCCAGCCGTCACTGCTGTGCACAGCAGGTCTGGCAAGCTGCAGACATATTAATGCTGTTTGATAAGAGGTATGTACCAGACTGGGAGCCCCCTTGGGTGCAGGGCCTTGCTCAGATCTGCCACTCTGCCTGCAAAACCCTTCTCAAGCACGGAGGGAGTCTGATAGACACAGATTCAAATCCCTACACTGACACTTCTTCCTGTGAGCCTTGCTTCCATTTTCACATCTGTAAAATGGGGTAATAGCCTTCTTAGAAGCACCAGGAGTTTTCGTAGTAAGCGATGTATGGGTCTTGTGTTGAAAAGCACTCAGTAGATATTAGTTCCTGTCATCATTGTCCTTTTCATTCTCTTCTTTTAGTTTTTCAGCAACGGATCTGTCTCATTTTTACCCACGTTTTGTGACGCATCTAAGATTCTTATAGAAATATTCCTAAGTGACAAGTCCAGGTCCACATTGTGATTGATTTTCTGTTGTGTCACACATTTTTCCTTGTTGAAACACTTACACAATACCTGGACACAAGCCTGCATTTAGAAGCATTTTGAGCACAGATTGGTACGAAGTCATGCTACTCGGCTGGCATGGGGGAACTGAGCAGCTGGTGGGTCTGCATCAGCTGAGAGGTAGTGTAGTCTGCAAGGCAGGGCTGCTGGGAAGACTGTGTGTCCCACAAGTGTCACCTGTGAGAGGACCTGGCACCCCTCAGTGGGGAAGATTCCTAGCATGTGATTTCTGAGGGTCACTGCTGTAGCCCTGTCCCTGCCTGTCCCAAGCCAAGGCCAGCTCTCATGGTACACAGCCCATGCCTCCCCACTGCTGCCCTGGTGTTGTCATTTAACCACCTGTTTCCTTGTCTGAGTCTCATTTTAGTCTTAAGTTCACTCACTGGATAAGGAATTTTCCAGGCCTTGTTTATTGATTTGATCAAAGCAGTGATCAGTGCTTGGGAGGCATTGGGTCAGCATGCAGATGATAGAGAGGGAAAAAATTCCTTAAGTTAATTAAGAAAAGGATTTCATGTAAATTTAAATTTATAAAATTTAGACATGAAACTAAGGGATATTGGAGACTGCCATAGGCTTTTCATCTGGGGAGACACTTTCCCAGAGTACCTGGGTTCAAAACCTAGCTCCAGCCGGTGCTCTGGTTCAGCAGGCTAATCCTCCTCCTCCAAGTGCCGCCATCCCGTATGGGCACCGGTTCGTGTCCCGGCTGCTCTGCTTCCCATCCATCCAGCTGTCTTCTCATGGCCTGGGAAAGCAGCAGAGGACGGCCTAGAGCCTTGGGACCCTGGACCCATATGGGAGATCTGGAAGAAGCTCCTGGCTCCTAACTTCGGATCAGCTCAACTCCCTCCAGGTCCCTACTAATACGTACCCCGGGGAGCATCGGGCATGGCTCAAGCGATTCAGTTCCTGCCACCCACACGGAAAACCTGGACTGAGGCCAGCTTCTACCTTTGGCCTAGTTTAGTGCTGGTCTTGAGCGACATTTGGGGAATGACCCAGCATGTAGGCATTCTCTATCTTCCTTTCAAGTAAATACATTTTTTTAAAAAAAGTAAACAAGGTCTTGTAAAAGGTCTACAAGGCAGTAGATCTAATATAAAAACAGACATTAGTAATTCAGTGCCAGCAATTTGCTTCTCTAGATGGCTTCAGTGAGTCAGGTGCAGGCAGCCACGTTCATTGTTTACGTACATTTTATTTTTTAACAGCTCTGGTCTGGCTGGTCCCATGGAATGAAACACACTGCGATGGAGCAAAGCAGAATGTGCAGATTGCAAAGGCTGGAGTGCTGTCAGTAAAGACACGCTCTGAAGTACAGGATACAGCCACCGCCCATGGGCCCAGGGAGGGAGAGAAGGCGCGGCCATCCTGGGTACAAGTCACGTGGGCCCTGCGGGACATGAAGAGCCTGGTGTTTTCCGAAATGTGGGACCTGTTTCTGATCCGCTTCCTGATGGGCGTGGCGGTCATGCTGTATTACAGTAACTTCGTCTTGGCCCTGGAGGAGCGCTTTGGGGTGCGGCCCAGGACCACTGGCTACCTCATTAGCTACAGCAACGCACTGGGCGCCCTGGCCGGCTTTGCGCTGGGGCCGATCCTGCGGCTATACCAGCATAACTCACACGCCGTGCTGCTGCGGTCCAGCGCGCTCACCTGCGCGCTGCTGGGCCTCCACGCCTCGGCCCATACCATGGGCGTGGTCATCTTCTCCTCCACACTGCTGGCCTTCTCCACCTCCATCGGCAGGACATGCGTCACCGACCTCCAGCTGACTGTGGGCGGAGCCCAGGCCAGTGGTACAGTCATCGGAGTGGGCCAGTCGGTGACAGCAGTGGGTCGCATCGTAGCCCCGCTCCTCTCCGGAGTGGCCCAGGAGGTGAGCCCGTGCGGCCCGCCGAGTCTGGGGGCAGCCTTAGCCTTAGTGGCGATTTTTATAATGTCAGTACACAAACGTCACTCCGGCAGTCCCGAGAGCAAAAAATTAAAAACTGAGTAATATGCTTTTGGATAACAGGAAGAGATAGTACCGCAGGTGTGCAAGCCCAGGACAGGGGGGCCCTTGTGAGAAGCGGCTTTGGATTAGGGTCAGTGGTGTCAGGAGAGGTTGCTCTGTTGGCCTTCCATCTGGGTGCTCATCTGGCCACAGCTGGATCTGCGAGTTGATGCAAACCCCAGGCCCACAAAGGAAGGGCAGGCTTGGGGCAAAGCTTTGCCAAAGAGAATGTTCCGCACTTACCTTCCTGTCTGGGCCAGTGAGATTCAACTTTTCAAGGGCAGGAAAGCACTCACCAGCTATAGGACAGAGATGCGATGATAGAAACCACACACATTTCTCTGCTCAGCACTGTGTTAATTCAGACTGTCTGGAGGAACACGGGTGCCCTGTTGGATTCCATAAGCTAAGAAGGAGCGTTTCTGCTCTCAGAATCCTGGACATTGAAAAGCTGCTGAATGACGTCTAGCCTGTTTCCCAAAGGCTGCTTAAGAACCACATACTGACCTCACCATCCGCCCAACCCCACCATGCCCGGACACTGACCCAGTGGCCTGGTGAAGTGGAGAAATCTTGGGGATTATGAAGCAGCACAGGCACGGCCTCATGGCGGTTGGGCAGGCACCGCAAGGAGGCATGCTTCCAGAGCCTTGACTGGCTTCATTCCTACCTGTCCATGACTGTTGGGATGCTCTCTGTAGCCACAGTGTGCTGGGCCCTTGCTGCCTCACAGCAGGTGTACTCTTCAGAAAGAAATGGGCGCCGAACCCGTACACACTGGGGTCAGTGCATTGAACAAACAGCGTGTTCACAGTCTGACAGTATCTGCATGTGCACTGGGCACCAATGGAAGGCTGCCTTCCTGTCCCTTCTGGCAGACATGGACCTGGCGGGGAAACCACGGCACATCCTTGGATTTCAGAGGAATACTTGACGCATTCATCTGAAAGTAAGGGTCAGGTTGTGGGCCCTACCTGAGGAACTGCATTCTTCAGTGTTTGTTCCATGTTAATGTCTTGCTTAAGACGACAGGCCATTGGTCCATGGGGAAGCTTTTGGGTGTGTTTTCCCAAGGAGCTGGGGAAGAGGCCCTAGTGAAAGCTAACGCTGACTCACTGAAGGTTAAGGCTGATGTGCCAGCCACTGGGTGGATCAGTTACTAGGAAAAGCCATAGAAGGGAGCCCTCTTTCACACGTAAACCACTCTAGTTCGCATTCCTTTCATGTCCTCAACAAGTCCACTAGGACATTACGCTGTGTCCAGTGCAGCACGTGCATAATTGTAAATGATATTTTGGAGACACTAATCTGCCACAACTTTAGTATTTATTGTTTACAAAGCAGAAACATTTCCATAACTTGAGAAGTTCTATATGAAGTAATTGCAAATATTTATGATAACTAATAGGAAATAAAGTTTTGTGGGAAGACTGTCCTTCCGCCTACCTGGCTACAAGGGAATGGAGAACTTTTTCTCAAGTGTCGCAGTTAGGAACACAAGCACCAGATGCTCCCAAGGAGACCGGAAGCTCGTGTGCAGTGCAATGGCCTTGCCTTCCGGGAGCGTGGGGAATAGACGCGCAAGGACAGTGGGTGAGCACTGCCTTATACAACGTGTACATGCAGAAAAGGAATGCCTTTTCCCCATTTTCAGTAAGAAGCACATTACTTAGCAACTTTTAAATGTGTAGATGCTGTTATTACTGTTAAATTCACAGCATTTTCCCCTTTGAAGTTAAAAAAAGATAGACCTCTTAATGAGGGTTTATAGTTGATCAGTCAATAGGAATATTGAAATCCAATGATTGATGTTCATATTTGGGACATTCTTTTGCACTTTTGCAGTAACGATTGTAGTCTCATTAATGTGATTTTTGTTTCCAAGATGTGGTGTCCTAGAGTTTTGTATTACGAAGTCTGACACTTTGCTGTTCACAGTGTGGTGCCACTGCAATGCCCACATCCCATAGCGAGTGCTTAGGTGCCAGTCCCAGCTGGGTGCTCCAGTCCAGCTTTCTGGTAATGGGCACTGTGGCAAATGGCAGTGCTGGCTCTAGGAGTGAGGACCTGGACTGAGTTCCTGGCTCCTTGCTTCTCTACCTGCCTGAACCCCCAGCCTCTGCCTGCCTTCTGGGAGTGAACCAGCAGGTGGGAACTGCTCAAGCAATCAGATAACTAGATCTGTGGTGCGGCAGTCTCATCACCCAGGAGCGTGTCGGTCATGGAGACACTCAGACTCCATCCGGGACCTACCAGGGACCATTTCAACAAGGATTTCTGACAATTTGTTTGCACAGTGATGTTTGAAAATCACCCTCTACTGGGTAGCATTTGTATTGTTTATAGGATGTAATCTCAGGGAAAATTAAAGCTGCTCAATTAACATTTGTGCTGCTCTTTCTTTTTTTCTTTTTTCTTTTTTTTTTTTTTTGGTTCGTTTGAATAGCTTTTGTAATCTTCTCCAAACTGTAAGGTGACTACACTTGAAATAACTGTTGTTGAAAGATATATATAGCTTTATATACAGAAGTATCAGGTGCAAGGCTCCTCCTGGAACAGCCATGACTGGAGCCGACTGGTGGGACCAGCATTTCCAAGTCCTTGCGCTGCCTTTTGACACACTTGAGGTTGAGACATGAAGAGCCTTGAGTCAGACAGAGGGCTCTGCCGCCCTGCTCAGGGATCGGCGTTTGGTTGACAGGTGAAGGCAGCCACAGAATTCATGGCGAGGAGGAAAAGGTGGCTAGTGCTCTGAGGTCATTCAGGTTTTGGAAAGTCCCTTCAAAAGAGGAGCACTCTAGAGTTGGGTGGCAGGGATGCCTGTGAAGGTAGGGGGTCTCGGAAGCATGGGCACACGGCGGGGGGGGGGGAGGAGGGAGAGGCGCCAAGAGGGGAGTTTTGAGAGTTGCCCATGAGTCGGGTCTCGATGGAGTTTGGGATGAGGTTGGGAGAGCTGGTGCTGGCTGTCCCTTCCGCCACCTCCCTTGCTGACCAGCAGGGAACTTGTAGGCATTCATGGGAGTCCTTCCGCCGTAGTTCAGAGGGACAGGGTATGAGGAGCGCTTGGCCTCTCGGTAAGGGATTTAGAAACCTTTGAGGAGCGAGAGTGCATTCAAGGGAAAAGTGCAGGCGCTTGGTCTGCTGCTTCAGAGTGTTACTCCAATAAATCGTGACTATGAGAAGTTACGTTGTATCTTGATGTATATATAGTTCGGGTTCCTGAATTACTGCAAAAGTTGAATCTCCAGTATGCTGAATCTGTGCTTGAACCATAAAAGCCAGCCTTTGGCTGTTAAAGTCTTCAAGCTGTGGCTGGCGTGGCCCAGCTCATTAAGTGTCTGCCAGTGACTTTGGCATCCCATATGGGCACTGTTTCTAGCCCTGACTGCTCTAACTCCTGATCCAGCTAGCTACGTGCTGATGTGCCTGGGAGAGCAGTAGAAAATGACCCAAGTATTTGGACTCCTGCTACTCCCATGGTGGGTGACTGGGATGATGTGTGAGGATCCTTCTAGCTTGGCCTAGCCCAGCCACTGTAACTGTTCAGGGAGAGAACCAGCAACTGGAAAATTCCTTCCTTCCTTCCCTCTCTGCAGCTTGGCTTTTTAAATAAGCATTAAAAAAGAAAATAGTTGATATATTGCGCTTTACAACATGGATAGGAGATAACATTTCTTTAGGTTTGTCAAAGAAATTCTATTCCATTTAAGAGAGTGGAGATTTAGGCTCTTACCCCGTCTACACATTACTCTTTTGCTATGATAGCTTATCTACCAAAATATCTTCCGAGTTTGCTTGAGGAAATGGAAACCACAAGAGGCATCCAATAGAGAGCTGATGTGAATGTGTTCTGCTGCCAGCTCGGAGCCTGGTCCTCATGACTGTGTGCATGTAACCAGCTGCGGAATGACCTCGAGTAGGCTGCGTTGGAAGCACAGGTCTGGGCGTCTCTGAGTCCAACTTCTGGGAGTGCCAATCTGACATCACTGAAGATGGTGTTTTCTTTGGATCGCCTTTAAAGTGCTTTCAGATGCTATTATCTTCAACGTGAGTAACACAGCAAAGTATGTCAGGTTGTAACTGCCAGACAAGATAACTTCATCTTCTGAAGGTTAAGGACCTAAACTGGAAAAGCCCATTTCGCAGATTCTTAAGTCTGAAAACGATGTAGCCGTGGTTTGATGAGTATCTCTAAATAAAAAGCATTTAATAAGGCAATGATATTGCCTCTTTTGTTCAGGCTGAGTTGGGAAAACAGTATGTCGCTATACTTCCAGAGGTTTCTGGGGAGCATTTGCTGTAATGGTCAAGACATCAGCTGAGGTGCCTGGTACCTGTATCAGAATGCTGGGTTAAAGTCTCGATTGGTGTTCCTGAGTCTAGTTTTCCTGCTGTCATAGAACCTGGGAGACGGCAAGTGATGGCTCGAGTGCTTGGCTTCCTGCCACGTGTGTGAGACCTGAGTTGACTTCTGGATCCCAGCACTGGTCAGGCCTAACCCTGGCTTTGTGGTAAACAGTGGATAGAAACACTCTTTCTCTCAGATTCTTAATTTTTGTAAAGGCTCATGTACATTGAGTTGAAACATTGAGTGAAATTATTTTAATATCCACACGTTTCCTTCAAAAAACACTTCTTACGAACAGTGCATTTTATATAAAATGCACAATATTTGCGATAAATAAACAGCTGAAAATTCTAATTTTTCCAGTATCTTCTTGAAGCATTTTCCTATTTCATACCCTTACAATTATCTTTGAATCCTTTGCAAGGGTTCATCACATGTGAAAATGAACAATGTTCATATCTGTGGCTGGTGTGGTGGCATAGCCTGCTACACTGGCATACATTGTGAGCCCTGGTTCGTGTCCCAGCTACTCCACTTTCCATGCAGCTCTCTGCTGATGGCCTGAACCACACGGGCAATGAAAGTGAAGTTACTAGGCCCTGACTTGAGCCTGGCTCAGTCCTGGCTATTGTGGCCACTTGGAGAATAAACCAATGAATGGGAGGTACTTCTCTATATCTCTCAGTAATTCTGACTTTCAAATAAATCTTTTAAACAAATTTTTAAACTAGGGACCGGCATTCCAGTATATGTTATAAAGCTGCCATCCATGACACCAGCAACCCCTCTGGGTGATAGTTCTTGCCCCATTTGCTTCTCTTGCCATGAAGCTCCCTGTTAGTGGTCTGGAAAAAGCAGTGGAGGATGGCAGAAGCGTCTGCTCCTTTGCCACCCATACGGGAGTCCCGGAGAAAGCTCCTGGCTTCTGGCTTCCAACTTGCTCCAGGCCTGGCCACTGTGGCCATCAGGGGAGGTTGTCAGAGGATGGAAGATCTCCCTCTCTCTGTAACTTTGAATTTCAAATGAATAAATGTATCTTTAAAAAATAACAATAAAAACTGTAAAAATTTTTCCATTGGTTTTATCACATTCCGTTGTACAGTAGTATTGTCAGCTTAATTATATATGGATACATATATATATATTAAACGAACAAAATTGAAATTCTTTTTTAAGAATTTATTTTTGTGTTGGAAAGGCAGACAATAGAAGGAGAGCCAAGTAAAGATCTTCCATCTGCTGGCTCACTCCCCAAGTAGCTGTAATGGCCAGAACTGAACCAATCCAAAGCCAGGAGCCAGGAGCTTCTGGATCTCCATGCAGGTGCAGGCCCCAAGGCTTTGGGCTGTCTTCAACTGTTTTCCCAGGCCACAAGCAGGGAGCTAGATGGGAACTGGAGAAGCTGGGATGCAAACTGACACCCACATGGGATCCTGGAAGTTATAAGGTAAGGGTTTAATCACTGAGCCACTGCTCTGGGCCCTGGAATTTAAATTCTAATCTTTCAGGCAATTCCAGCTATCATGATCCCATGTAGTACAGATGGTGGCTGGTTTGATTCACAAATGTAAAACTTGGGGCTTCTGGAACTGCTCTGCATCATTTTCTCTGTAACTAGTTGATGTTTACATATGGTTTTTTATATGCATGCTTTTGTATGACTTTTCTCAGAAGGAAGGGAAAATGTCCTTATACAGAATTTCAATTTGGTGAGCCAAGTTTCCATAACTGGATGCAAAGCGTATCATTTAAACTAGAAACTCACCAGCCATGCTCATAACCCAACTGGAGCTACTAAGAGCAGAGAAACATTAAGATGCATAATTCAAGTTTTTGTTTGTTTGTTTAACAAATATGAAACACTGAAAAAAATCACCATATTGTGTTTGGGGTTTTGTCTATGGATAGCTCATTGGGCATCACTTCTGTGCCCTACAGTAATAAGGCACTGACTCCACAACGCCTCTGTGACACACTGAAACATCTTGAGGTGGGTTTTGAGTCATTCCAAATAGCCAGTCCGCTGTGCAGACCGGGAATCTGATCATCTGTGTACGGTGGATCAGTGAAATCTACACCAGAAAAGCTCATTCCTGGCCACACATGTAAAAGAGCTGACCCACAGTTTATGCATAGAGGTAAGCAAACAGAATGTTGTTTGAAAAACTGGAAAAACTAGAAAATCAAAGGGACCAGTAAAGTATGTTCCAGCGCAACATTAAAGAGGTTGTTGGGAAATGATGCAGCTGAGTGATTCATTGGGTGGCCAGGCTCACCCGAGGGCATGGGCTGCATGTGGAGGTGGGTGACATTGGAGGAATTCTGAAAGAGCCTGACAACTGTCAGAACAACAGCTCCGGTTAGGGCCATACAACTACTACCTGGACAGACTTCCTGCTTTCCTTGAAAGGGGCCTGTAGAACAGACCTACTTTATATATATATATATATAGGGATGTAAAGTAATTGTGAGCTACAGACATTGCTCTGAACACAAAGAAAATGAGACGATTGCTAGTCTATTCTGTATCAAGGACATGGCAGGTTAACTGAACAATCAGCACAAAATCTGCTGTCTGTGTCTAAACATGCAACCAACCAAAGATCAACTTAATTCAGGAGCAGAACTGGGTCTCTATTGAACATTCACACACCTTTTACTCTTGCTATCACCAAATGATAGAGTATCAGAATTATTGACATAGCATTTACATTGCATAATGCATTATAAGTTCTGTAGATATGAGGCAAAGTATGTGGAAAGAATAAAGTGGCCATTCTTGGAGACTGGGGCACCACTGATTTTATCTTACTACTTTGTGTCCAAGCCTTAGCCAACAAGGCCAACAACTACTTCATCCGGACAAGGCCATACTTTCAATTTGTGTTTTTTTTTTTTTTTAAAGTTTACTCACTGATGTATTGATCTGAAACAGAAAGACACATGAAGACATACCGAGAGATTTCCTATTATTGATTCATTGAGGCTGGACCATGCTGAAACTGGAAGCCAAGAACTGAGTCAACATCTTCTACATAGATGGCAAGAACCCAGCCACTGGAGTCATCAGCTGTTAACCCACGCCAAAGTGCACATTATCAGAAAGCTAAAGTTGGGAGCAAAGCCAAGACACAGCCCCATGGATGCTGATGGGGATACTGGTGCTCCAGTGGCATCTAAGCCATTACATCAATCACTCGTCCCTTCAGCCTTTCAAGTCCAAAGTAGACCTGGAAATAATGTCAATATTGTCATTGTGATGACATGCTGGTTTTACAAATAACCTGATTTGCAGGTACCACATCAAATGCAAAAACATGCTGAGACATGTCTGTCTCTATGATTTTCATATTAATACTCTTCTCTCCCCATACTACACTTAACCTCTACAAAAATTAACAAAAGCCGAAAGAGATTCCATGCCCAACAGTTCAGGGTATCTAAATATAAAACATATTTTTCAAATAGCATTTCTGGATGCTATTTTCTAGGTGTTTGCAAACTAGCATAACTGTTTCCGACATCCCTTGGCAACATACATGAAGCAGTGATCTCTAGCTTTTCACTTAGAAGTAGTCAAAATCAAATGTTGCTACCATAAACATCAAAGGCCTTTGAGGATTCTATAACCACTCTGCGACTTGGGTTGGATCAAGTGTTGCTTGGAATAACAATCATTCACAAAGAGATGGAACTCTTTATGCTGCAGACATTTATCTGGTGGCAGTATTTAATCGAAGGTTTCATCTCCATATCTTCTCTAGGGTAACTGGAGTTTAGTACTTAGAAAAAGAGAGAGAGAAAAAAAATAGAAAACAAGCTAAATGAAGTTAAATTAATTTTATTGCCTTTGTTTTTCCATAAAAGAAAAAAATTCTTAAACACTAATTAAGATGAAATGACTCAGTTTTTTTCATTTTGCAAATTTATACAATGACATCCAAATTCTTGGTGTGACTTCTAATTAGTGACAGCTGAATTTGAGCTACCTAACATAGAGTGCGATAAATCTTCTGTGATATTTACTTTCATTGCAGAAAATTTAAACCGATGTAATATTTATTTATATAGGAAGTGAGAAATGGCAAATTTGTCACGATGATTTTCAATTTCTGCCTTTCCTTGCAGATTTCATAAACTCTATTCAGAAAATATGTACTTCACATTCCCCAAACTACACACCACATCTTGTCATAAATTCCTATAACAAAATCTCATATCAATTTTCAGTATAAGAAATATATATGTTTGTATAAATATCTTTAAATAGAATTTTTTGGCACAGTCTTAGCTGGTAGTGTCAAATTGTGTCCTACACTCTTTTTACTGATCAACAAGGGTGACTGGTGAAGAAGTGGTTGCCATATAAGTGTATACTTTTTCCATCTAGTCTCCCTACCTCATGCCAACAATATAAGGACACTTTAAGATCTTAGAACATAACAATAAAGGTGAAGTATTTCTTCATATTGCTGGGTTTGGATCAAGGGCTGGAGAACGACTCCTGCATGTTTATCAGATTACAGCAATTCTATAGGCACTTGTATCCTTTTCCGTCTCTCTGATGAGAAAGTAAGGAAATACAGAGGTGGCTTCGATTAATATCTAAATCTAGAAATTTAGAGACTTGTTCCAATCAATATTTAGAGCAGCTACACAGGAAAAAAAAAATGAAAGACCAGTGAAATCTACAGTTTAAGAGACAGAGACCCAAATACCAATCTTTAATGTTTATGTTCTACTTCTGTTCTTGGTGTATTAAAAAAAAAAAATGCTCCCATGAGTAAAGGCCCATTTAGTATCAAGAATTTGAGTCACTATATGGTTGAACAGGGAGAAGTAGCAAATTACAGTCTAGGGCAACAAAAAATAAAATAAAATAAATAGGACGTCTACATTCTCCAATGTGCTTTCTGAGTAAGAACCAAAAGCTGAAAATCTCACCAATCTGTTACACATTGGAATATTGTTTATGTAAGCCTCCATCTTTGTCTCCTTGGGATCTCTTAGGGGGATTCAAAGTTCTAGAATGTTTTTCAGAGAAACTTGGTTGAAGCAGGTGTGTGTGGATGGCCATGTTATGAATCACCCCTTCCTCCTCCCAATATTGCACCACAAGAAAAGAAAGAAAGAAAAGACAGGAGGGAGAGAGAGAGGAAAGAAAAGGAAAGGGAAGGGGAGGGAAGGGAAGGGAAGAGAAGGGAAGGGAGGCAATAAAACCAAATATTAATATGTGGTAGGCAGTGTGCGCCCCGCTGCCTGACTCTAGGACACAAGAGGCCCTCAAGGGTGGGATTCATCGAAAGCTGTCACCAAGGCTGGTTTTGCATGGGTAGCCTCTTATTCTCTTGGTAACATTTAAATAAGAGAGAGATGACTTTTAGCTGTTTCCAGACATAGGGTAGACAGTGGAACAAATCAAAAGCCAAGTAACCCTCATTACTTCATAGGCATCCAGAGAGTTGTCGACTGTGCTGTGCAAGCCAGGCCACTTCGTCCACCTGGGCATCTTGCCCCCTGAGATGCCTTGGCTTGTGCTTGGTTGCCTTCTAACCCACTCCTACACCAGTGTAGGACCAGAAAAGGCTCCCAACCTTGCACTTGAGACCCACCCTATAGAAACAGTTCTTTTTCCTTTGGAAAGATACTCTCAGCACTTTTAGTGTCATTCACAAAAAGCTGACTACTACAGATAGACATAATTTTTTTTCTCATAAATAAAATCTGAGGCATATATGTAATATATTAAAATTTTCACAAAGTTGTGTTAAAAATGTCAAGTTCTGTTATTCAAGTTCAATAAAGGCACACATTTGTTTGGTTTTCTTCAGACCTGCAGAGAATGCAATTGCAACACATCCCTCCCCGCAAAAAAAAAAAAAAAAAAAGTGGGACTTCTTTGATTTTCCTCCTCTTAGGATTAGCACTTGTTTCATTAGTCAGCACAAGAAAGTGTTTAGATGCTCAGAGAGTTGTGAATGGATTTCATAGTCGTGCCAGGTTTGCAAGTGACGAATTACAGCCAGTCTGGGTTGGTCATCCCCAGTCTACTCTGTCCACATCCATTAAGGCTTCTCACCCCCAAATCGTGCTTTTCGGTTTCCAGGTTCAGACGCCCTCCGGACCAGCCGCGGGGGCGGCTTGGGTCTGACATCTTGAGTCAAACTGTCCTGCCTCCCCTGGTCTTTGGAAAGAAGGGGCTGCCGCAGGACAGCTGGTGTCTGGGTGCCCCCCTCTTTGCTGCGGGGTGCTGAAGCGGGGCTGGGCTGCCTTTGCCCGGAATCCACATCAACCTCGTTCTTCCATTCCATTTTATAGGACTGCGAGGCTTTCTTGGAGAACTGTTCCGGCAGGAAGCATCTGGCTCGGGGCTGCAGATTGAGTACGGTGGTTCCAGGATCCGCATCGGAGTCACTGCTGTCACCGTCTGGCACAGAGCAAAGGAAGCACAGTGTGGGCCAGTGTAGCAGAAACGAGGTTCAACAAAAATGACTTTGGTCCCTTAGCGAATCAGGCTGACCCTGTGCCATGGGTATTAAGGGAGAGGTCACGAAATGCAGTTGAGCCACCTTGGTTACCTCATGTCACCTCTGAGAACCTTCCTGTCCAAAGGTGCATAGTAACTGTGAACAGCTTATGGTGTGCCAGGCACCTGTAGGTGGCATTGAATGCATCCATGTTACAGGTGGAGTGACTAGCAAGTCATGGCGCGGGAATGAGAACTGAAGCCCTTTGGCAGTAGTGGCTGTGTCCTCCTCTGCCCCACAGTAATGACCCTGAGAGGGCTCAGCTCCACAGCCGGTACATGGTAAGCTGTCTGGTCAGTGCCTGCTACTGGGGGAGAGACTTGATATTATGGAGGCTAGGAATATCCTGCCCTCCAACCATCTAAGGCTGGAGAAGTCAATGGGTCTAGACCTGCCAAAGCAACTGTAGGAGGAAATTGATATTCAATAAATCTATGACAGGCCAATTTCTAAGTTGCTCATTGTGTAGCTCATGCAAATGATGTTATGAATATCTAAGTGGCCCTTGGCAGGAGAAATTTTCCACCCATGGCCAACTCTTACACAAAATTGTGCTTATTTTCTTTATATACTGCTCATGAAAGTGCTATGCCAACAGGTGGTTTCCCAAATAACAATCAAAGGAGGCACCAATAACAGCAGAGTCCAGCAATGAAGCTGTGTGGAGGGGCAGTGGTTAGTGGACAGGGCAGGCTGTATGCCCAGCCTGTTTGGCTGGTTATGCGAGGGTAACAAGGACCACTGTTGTAATCTACAGTGCTGCCTCAGCTCTCCAGTTCTCACTTGTCTTTTCTCAGCCTACCCTCCAACATCACCTGCTATCCTTAGATCTGCCTCTTTTAATAATTACACAACCAATCAACTAAGCCAGGGAAATAATAACCGGGCTACACAGAGTTTTAAAAGCATGGAATTCTAAATTTGTTCTTTGTTCACGGGATGTGGCTTGAGTAGTTAAAGAGAGATTTCCATCAAATAAAGACAAGTTAGGTAAATGTAAGGAAAAAGTTTAACAATTGCATGAACAAAAATACATGGTTATCTTTATGAAAATATACTAGAATTATTATAAAAATGTAAATATACATTTGTAGGTATAGAACTATTTGTTTACTTGCTCTGACACTCTGTTGACGATATTTGGGTTTTTTTTTTTGCATCAAAGGATCATTCTGGAAAATACAGGATTTGATTATGTATGGATCTGCTCAGAATGCCACCCAGGAAGGCTAATAAAATGTTATCCTGTTATCATTTTGAATTTGTAAGCTATTGAACTTGTCCTTCAAGAAGAAGATAATAGGTAAACTTTTATATTTTATAAGCTTCGATAAATAAAGCTCTTCTCTATGTGTACCCATTACCTGCATTAGAAATATTCTTTCTCTTCTGTAGCTTTTCTGGAAGCTTTGTATTTTTAGGTAAAGATAAATATCGGGAAGTTGAAGTGGAAGCCTGCAAAGGAAATATTAAACCTTGTTTAGACTAGATAAATGCAATCACTATATATTAGGAGTTGGAAATTTTCTAATAAAAATTGATGTTAAAACTAATTTTAGTCCTTTTTTTAAAAGCTTATTTTACTTATTTGAAATGAGGAGATACAGACAGAGAAAGATACAGAGAGAGAAAAATACAGAGTTCTCCCATCTGCCAATTTACCTCCAACATGCCTACAGCAGCAGCAGAAGCTGAGCAAGGCCACAGCCAGGAGACCAGAAATCAGCTTGGGTTTCCTGTGTGGATGACAGAGACCCAACCACATGAACCATTGCTTGCTGTCTGCCAGAGAACACATCAGCAGGAAGCTAGGATAGCTCTGATATGAGACATAGGTTCTCCAAGTAGCATCGTAAATGCTTGTCCCAGAACCTTAGACAAAAATTCCACACCAGGGCTGGTATTTGGCTGAATGTTTGGCACCATTTGGGACACCTTTATCTCCTATCAAAGAGCCTGAATTTAACTTCCGTCTCTGGCATCCTGCTCACACCAACGCTGAGAAGCAGTAAGTGATGGCTCACATGATTGGGTCCCACCCACATGGTAGACCTAGATTGAGTGCCTGGCTCCTGGCTTTGACCTGGCCTAGTCTCAGCAATGGAGTATTGGGGGATTGAACCAGCAGATGAGAGCTTCGTCTTACTGTCTTTCTTATGCTCTAGTTCTGCCTGTTGAATCAACAACACCATCTATTAAAAACTTTGAAAACCAACAAACCTACTTCAAGTGGCTGTAACTTTTGCATTTAAAATAACTCTATGTTTTCTAAAAGCTGATAGAGGTAGGAAGGCAGTAAGCTACAAGGAACCAGGAGACTGCCAGCAACCCTTGTGCCAGTCCAGCATGGCTGCAGGCTCCACATGTCCCATTTCCATCACGGTCTCAGCCTCACTTCTCCACATGCATGAATCACCGTGATGATCACACGTGTGCCACAGCTCACACACTGACCCCAGAAACCTTTGGAGAGTCCCAGAAGGGGATACGGAAGCCTGAGTAAAAACCCCTCCCAAACTCTGCCTCATCTGAATATGCAATTAGGGTATCACACCCTGCCCCATAAAAATCTACACCTACTTCGGTGGGGACATCAACTCTTCTCTCATTACTTAGAGAGGCTCCTGCATTTACATCCGATTATGCACTATTCCTTTAAAATTTCCCCTGCTTACACCTCTGCCCATGTCTGCTTTGAATTCTTTTCTCACTGGAAGAAAATAACTTGGAACATATTCAATCCTGAACACCATACCCCACAAAGGGACCAATAGAAATAAGATGTGATAGTTAAAGAACATTTACCAAAATGATTGTAAAGGTCTTACTCTTTGGAAAGACTTAGAACCTAAATGAATGAAGAAAAAGATGCAGCATGTTTTATTTTTTATTTACTTCAGTCGTGAAAACGACAGACTAGGCAAGATTACTATGATAAATGACTGACTTGGCAAAGCCACAATCTAGTTTCTTTCATTTGTTCTGGACACTGGGGCATTTTGCATGTAAAACTAAATGGATGGTAATAAAACTAAAATACCACACCCTCCTGGTAAATTAGTCCACCCTCATGTCCTTTCTATGTGCTACTGACAGTGCTCACTGTCCCGTGTTTCTCACTCCGGCCTTCCTGCAGTTCCCCCATAGATCACGCTGGCCTACGTGCCTCCTGGCCTTTGCCCTTGCTGCACACTCTCCTTGGAGAGCTCAGATAGGACTGTGGGCCATTTCAGTCAACACCAGACTGTCTGTACAGTGTGAGTCCATAAGGTTTTATGGCCTACTGATGCTCAGTTGCCTTGGTTTCTTAAGTACACTCTATCATGGCCATACAATTACAGATTTGCCTAATGATGCATTTCTGAGAATGAATCCTTACAGGATACAGGATGTCTTACTTTCAAATAAAGCCTGGCCATGTGATTCTGTTTAGAAAATGCTCTCTTCTGTGTATTCTCACCCCCCTTTTTCTGATTTCCTTGGAGCTTATTTGCTCTATAGCACATTGTCTTACAACAGACAATTCAGTTATTCTGTGCATGACCGAGAGCCTTCCTTGCCACTAGAACAGAAATCTTACAAGCAAGTGTAGGAATCTTCATCAGCTTTATTCCCTAATGCATCCCAGTGCTTGGCATTAGCAGGCAGCCCAAAAACCCTGGGGAAGTTGTCATAAATCACTCGCCCTGAGAATCCCTGAAAAGCAAGCCTCTGCAGTGACTGGGTCAGCAGAGCAGGTGATCAGCCAGAGGACCCACACTGCAGTTCTTGGCCCTGCCCCTGAAGGCCTCCTGCTGCGTCCCAGGCACTCAGACCCCACGCACCCTGCGCTCTCGATTCAAGCTGTTGTCCTTCCTGATGCTTTCCCGCAAACTGTGCCGACGTCGGATGAGGATCTCCTTGGCTTGCCTCTCACTCGTGTCAGCTGTTAGGTTGTGTCTGTTGTAGGACAGAGTCTGAAATGAAAGCACACGTGTAGCATTTTATAAACAAAGGGAAAACAACAGGCAAACAAAAACCCTGATCATTTCCTCAGATATTGCAGAGCTGCACATTTCTTTAGATTTGCCCCATCAGCCAAACACAGACAACTTCTGTTCGGAGAAAACCAGAAGACTTTACAAGTATTGAGGTTAACACTATGAAATTTTAAAATACTTTATCTTTCCATAAAAGTCTGTGAATACATTTTTTTTCCTATTGAAAAATGTGATCTTTACATATAAACGAGAAAATCAGTGGAATTCATCAAGTGGCTTTCTCTACCTTGAAGTACCTTGGTGCATACTTAGAATTATTAATATCTGGGAGAGAGAAAAGACAAGTCATCTTCATGCATTTTGTATTGACTTTGAATTCCTGACATACAAACCACCACTCTGAGCCACTTGGTGGTGCCCTGTCCTTTTTATTAACACCAATGCTCCTTTTTCTGCTGAACCGTCTCATTGAAAAGCTGTTCTTCCCCTCAGCAATGAGCATGCCCCACTAGTTGAGCTTCTAAACTAGGACTGTTTAGGGAATGCCACTTTTAGTTCTGTAATATATGTACAAATTTCCTAAAATAAATTATAAACAGCAGTTAATTTTATTATTTTTTTTAATACAATTGGCATGCACTTGTTGAAAGGATCCCTGTGTCTGGAATGGTCTGCATATAGGCTATAGAGAAGATGCAGAATAAAATCCCTGCCTTGAAGAGCTCATGAACTAATTGTGTAGCTAAGGTTACCAAAAGAAAACAATTATGAAATTAAATATTGAAATCATGGGATATTGTATAAGCCCCGAGTGGTACCCATTGAGGGTAGGGCTAATAATAACCTGATGGTTGTTGGGGAAAATATAAAAGATAAAAATACGGGCCAGGTAGTATACTTCCACTGTGGAAGGAGGAGGAGAGAGAGAGAGAGAGAGAGAGAGGGTGAGAGAAAGAGAGAACCCATCACACCACATTAGTGTCTGGGGGTAAGTAGGGGAGAGATACAGGAAAAGAATGTTGGATAGAATGGATCTTAGAAATATGGATATCAGATTTGGGAAAAACATCCTACCCTGGAAGCCATAAATATTTTGCTTCTTTATAAATAGGATAATACTGCCATTAAATGGTGCTTTGGGAATGGATGCAATACATTACAGTCCTTTGAGCTAAGGTACCACTTGGGACACCATAGCCCATATGGGAATTCCAATTTGAGTATTGGATGTTCTTCCTCTGATTCAGCTTCTTATAAATGCATCTACAGCAGACCCCACATGGAATTCTGGGCTCCTTTCTTCAGCCTGGCCCATTTTCGGTTGGATTTGGGGGACTGAATAAACAAATGGAAGTTCTCTGTTTGTCTATGTTTATTTCCCTATCCTCTGCTCTCAAATGAATTTTAGAATAATATATAAACATGTCTAAAGGAATTAGAGAAAAGGGGAGAGTCAGGAGTTGTCCTATGGTGGAAAGGCTAAGAAGATATTTTTAAAAAGGCCCCAGAAGAGTACGGAAAGATCCTTGCCTGGCTATGGGTCACATGTGCCACCCTGTCTCCCTTTACCTCATTCTTTCACCTGTAAAATGGAGTTGGTAGGTGGAAGCGTGAAAGAGACAATGCTTGCAATGCACTGAAATGGGGCTTGTCATATCGTACACATCCCCCTAAAGATTAGCTGTACTATAAGCAAATTATCACAATGAATGTCAACAATGGAAGCACAGCGAAAGGAGTGACTATGATGATAGATTAATGCAAGACATGGAAGCACCTTGAGAATGACAAAGAAGAATGAATATGTTCGAAAGGTCTAAGCTCTAAAGCTATTCCATATAAAACAGTAACCAAACCATTTCTTCACCCTTGGTCAATATGGACTTACCTCCCACCCACACCAGGAGAACTCCCCAGGGGATTTCACTGCTTTTGCCACAGCATTCCAGAGGGGAGTTATACCTCACAAGTCGGGGGACTCGAACAGGGTCTGAGAGAACCAGCCAAGATTCTCTGTGGAGGGCCCATTGGGGTGGCCATCCAGTTACAGCACCTGTTTTTACATGTTGTAACTAAATACATAAACGTTTTTGTTAAATGAAGAATTCTCACCCTTTGACGTATTTGGTAGAGATTTCTTGATAATATTTCTCGAATTTCATCCATCTCTCCAGGGGTGAGCTTCCTTATTTTTTCTTCACGGCAATCACTGTGAAAATGTGCAAGAAGCATATTTGATCTTTGAACAAATACTAGAAATATCATTATTGAAGAAGGACAGACTTAGTTCTCAAGCAGCATTTGCCAATGATTCAATATGTTCAGTGGTTCAAAAATAATTAAGGGTTCTAAAACTTAATTTAAAATTCACACTTGATAAGTTTAATCCTAAAAATAATCACAATCACACTCCATTAGTGCAATTATCTTCTTAAAGGAAAAAAAAACTATCACAGCCTACAACATTATCACTCTTATTTTTAACATACTGTTAACGAAACAGAACAGGAACATTTTTTTTTTCTAACAGAAACTTAATTAGCTGTGTGGGACAGGGTTCCTCAAACAGTTCATAGAAGCTACATATTATGAAAAAAACTATGGATGCATTTCAGAAGGTTTTGCATCAAAGGAAACACGTTTTCCATGGATTGTTTGCATTGTATATATTTTTGGTTTAAAGCCTCATCTTTCAAATACCTACTATAATTATTTGGAAAAATGTATACTTATTTGCGCATGTTGTATTTGTGAATTTTCCTACTTCAGTTCATCAACAGAATAGCAACATCTGCAGCACCTTTGCAGTTACTCACGGACATGCATAGGGTGCCAGTAAACACACATTTTAGGAGGAAAAAGGCAATGTTCAATCTTGTCGCTCCAGCTCCCACACTATAAATAATGACCTTTTCACAGTCAGTTTCACAATGTACTTTTTGCATCTTATGCAGTTTATGGGTGATTTCACTGTTCAAAATTGTCTTAAGCATAGAGCTAAAATGCTGTGCAGGGGTCTACCTGTAAGACTGTCCTCCTGTGCCTTCCCAAGAAAGCACATTAGTAAGCTATGTCTACACTTGAACTACAGTGCAGTTGACCATGGGTTTATTGTCAATGTAAAAGCAATGTATGCTAAGTAAGATGTCTCTAAACATGAGCACACATTCAGTAAGCTGTGAAAATTCTGAGACCAGAGGCTTAAGAAAACCTAACTTTGTCTATTCCCAGGGTGTAACGCTTCACAATGTGCAACTGAGCATTTGAACCTACTTAACCACTGCAAGACACAAAAATTGTTGCAAGGATCTACAAAAAACACATAGTACAATAAAACAGATAAAATGATCAAAGCTGGGGAGGCTGTGATGATTATTGCAAATATTACACAAACACCAAAGAACATAAATCTCTTCTAATTTGAAGATGCAAATTCATCGCTCGTGCAGTCCTGTCAGAACAGTAATCACTGGGACACCAGAAGTTGGCACTAGCAGGTAGTGGCAACACAGAGGAATTAGCACAGTGATGTGAAATCCCATCTCAAGATTTCTCCAGCTTCAGGAATCTCAGTTTTGCCCCAATCCCTGCTGCTCAGAAGCAGCATCTGTCTATGTAGAGATGGGTAATCAGACACCTGCCCTGCTCTCTAGCCAAGTGCTTTTGATCAGCAAAAGTAATTCACAGAACTTTAGAGTTGGAAGGGATATAAAAGTTCATCAAGTAACAATTTGCTTTACTATCTTATTTTCTTGTGTACTTTCCCACCACGTCCTTGCCAACATCCATTTGAATACCTTCTGTGAGGAGTTGCCATATGCCTTGTTTTTATTTAGACATTTTCTTGGAATCTAATATGAATTTCATGTGTATGACTCAATGAATCATCACAAAGTGACATATAAACTTATGTAACTACAACTCTGGTCAAGAAATGGAACCTTGAGGTTGGCGTGTGACATAGTGTCTAAAACCACCACCTGTGATGCCAGCATCCCATGTGGGCAGCAGGCTGTGTCCTGGATGCTCCACTTCAGATCCAGCTCCTGCTCATGGCCTGAAGAAAGCAGCAGATGAGGTCCTGCTACCTGCATGGGAGATCTGGCAGAAGCTCCTGGCTTCAGCCTATCCAAATCTTGAGCCAAACAGCTATTTGGGGAGTATAGCAGCAGATGCAAGACCCCTGTCTCTGTCTCTCTGTACTCTACCTTTTGAATAAAGAAAGAAATCTTATCAATAAAGGATACAGAACGTTAATGAAACCCCAGAAAATACTTCATGCTCCCTGACATCAATCACTTCCTCCTTTCCTCTTAATAAAAGTTGGTAACTCTTAACTTCAACATTAGTTGCAACTAAGTTTGAACGCTAATATGAATAGAATAATCTAGAGTATATTTTACATTTTATTTTTTATGCCTTGTGTTCTATTGGAAATCCATGTGCTCTGTGATTTGGACTTTGTAATTTTTGTATTATACAATGGAATACACAAAAACCTTATGATTTTTAACAGTCCAATGCCTCTCATCCTTCACATTTATAGTTAGTGATTTGAAGACTTGCTCAAGAAATCTTTGGCTTAAGAAATATTGTGGCATAGCTGGGAATGGATGCTGGTTCAAATCTTAGCTGTTCCACTTTAGATGCTGTCACGGCTGGGTAGGTAGAAGAGGATGGCCCAAGTGCTTGGACCTTTGCCCTCACATGGGAGACCTGGAAAATCTCCTGGTGTCATCCTGGACCTGCTCCAGCTGTTGTGGCAACCTGGGAAGTGACCCAGCAAGTAGAAGATCTGCCTCTCCCTCTGTGCCTGCGTATCAATCTCTCTCTCTCTCTCTCTCTCTCTCTCTCTCTCTCTTTCTGTTTTTATACTTTTCCAACAAATCTTTTTTTAGAAAAAAAAAATCTTCTCTATAATGGTCTTTCAAAAATTGATTAATATGTCTTACATCCAAATCTACAATGCACCTGGATCTGAGTCAATTTCACTCATATCTTTAAAAACACCTAATGAGCCCAGTTGCTGACACAAGCTAGCTTTTCTCCAAAGCTTGTACTGCAAGCTTGGTCATTAGTCATTGTCCACTTGTGAGTTCTCTGTTTCTTTCCAGTATTTTACTCATCTTTGTCCTTGTTCCAGTATCATGCCGTATTAATTAGACAGCTTTATAACAAGTCTGGTTATCTAATAAAATAAATGTTTTGAGTTCTTCCTTTTTGAAAACTGTCTTGGTTAATTTTGGTCCTTCTTGCTTACACACACACACACACACACACACACACACACATAGAGGGAATGATATTTTAAAATCTATAGATCTTATCATACAATACTGAAATGTTTGCCTTATTAGACATTTCTTTTTTACTAATATTGTCTTTATCGATTTACACTAAATGTACAAGTATTTAAATGGTGATTTCACACATTTTTTCTAACTTTGAGGTTAGTATCTTTTTTCTAAATTAAACATTTTGCACTACAAATTTTATCTCCCACATATCATAACGCTTATACATGCCATTGAATTTTTAAGATTTATAATTCAGAAATGTATATGAAGTTAGTTATTGAGTCTTTATCTGGAGGTTCTTTCGAATTTTCTACGGAAACTAACAAATTGTAATAACAGCTTTATTTTGTCCTTTTCTAGCTTACTTTTTCTTAATAAAATTTCTTTCTGTCTCTTTTTTTTCTTGCTTACCACTGGTTAAATATTAAATAGAACTAGTAATAATTTACATCTTTGCATTTTTCTAGAGTCTTAAAATAGGTCTTTCAACATTTTAAACTAAAAATACTTTCCGTGGAGTTTTTGTGAAGCTTGTTTTCTGAACTTAGAGAAGGGCTCCTTACTTCCAGTTTGTTTGGATGTTTCACACAGTAAGAAATAAATATTGAATTTCCTCATTTTTCTGCTCCTGTTTCAGACAGATGCTAATCTATGACTTTATACATCTTCTTATCACAGCATTTTTGACTGTGAAACATCCTTATATTTTTTCCTGAGGGGAAAAAAAAAGCCCCAAGTGATTTTGATGAATGTTCCTTTTATAGATTTTATTTGTTAGTAATTTTTTACAGAAAAACTTTCTTCTGTAATTTTTCTTCCTTGTGTATGCACCTGTCAAATTTTGTACTAAATTTAGGCTGACGTATGAAGACAGCCATGAAAGTTTCCTTTCCTTGATATCTGTAAGAGTTCGTAAAATTGCAATAATTTTCCCTTAAATGCTTTGTGGAATCACAAATGAAGCCATATTACAGATTAATTTACATAATGCTTATGGGGTTGCACACATTTTCTGTTTTTGTTTTTTTTTTTTAAGATTTATCTATCTTTTATTGGGAAGGCAGATATACAGAGAGGAGGAGAGACAGAGAGGAAGATCTTCTGTCCAATGGTTCACTCCCCAAGTGGCTGCAATGGCTGGAACTGAGCTCATCCGAAGCCAGGAGCTCTTCTAGGTCTCCCATGCAGATGCAGGGTCCCAAGGCTTTGGCCTTTACTACTTTCCCAGGCCACAGGCAGGGAGCTGGATGGGAAGTGGGGCTGCTGGGATTAGAATGGGCAGCCATAAGGGATCTCAGTGTGTTCAACACAAGGACTTGAGATGCTAGACTAACGCGCCAGGTCCACTATTATTTTTTTGAAGGTCAAGATTATTGACTTTTTAACCTAGTGTCATTTCTAACATTTTCCTCAAGGCTAAAAAAAAAAAAAAACTCCCTAAAACAAATTGTTTACGCTTCTTCACACAAGATTTAATTTCTCTTATTTTCGCCATATTAAAATTTAAAATATCCCTACATGATTTTTTAAGTTATTGATTTTTCACTTGTAAAATGTTGATGAAGTATAGTTAGGTTCACATTATTTCATTTTGTTGCTGATTAGCTTTTGGCAAAACAGTATAATTTGTATAAAACTTTTCAAGACTTTAGCTGTTAATACTGGTGCCAAAATGTTCTATAGTCTTTTTTTTTTTTAAGATTTATTTATTTATTGGAAAGTCAGATATACAGAGAGGAGGAGAGACAGAGAGGAAGATCTTCCGTCCGATGATTCACTCCCCAAGTGAGCGCAATGATCAGTGCTGTGCCAATCCGAAGCCAGGAGCCAGGAACCTCTTCCGGGTCTCCCACACGGGTGCAGGGTCCCAAGGCATTGGGCCGTCCTTGACTGCTATCCCAAGCCACAAGCAGGGAGCTGGATGGGAAGTGGAGCAGCCGGGATTAGAACCGGTGCCCATATGGGATCCTGGTGTGTTCAAGGCAATGACTTTAACCGCTAAGCCACGCCACCGGGCCCAATGTTCTATATTCTCAAAAAATTTTAATCTACTTCATTCTATTAGTTATTATAAGACTTAAAATATTTTACTACAAATAAAACTGTATTTTTATTTGTGGTTCTGTTAAGTTTTGTCTTATGTATTTTGGAACTATATACTTGTATTGAAATGATTTTATATTCTTATAGATTATTATCTATCTAATTCTTATAGATTAGAACAAGGCTTTTTCTAATGTTTAAATTTTGGGGCTAGCACTTTTATTACATATGATATTTTCTTCTTATTTGTAAATTCTTTGTATTCTCATATAAACAAACTATTTCAGGCATTATATAATACATTTTGTGATTTTATCTATCAGAGTATGTCTCCCTTTTAATCATGAAATTTGATAGCTTTCGATTTCAGCTATTTCTTGAATTCAAGACTCCCATTTTACCATTCACGTTCAATTTGTCACTTGTTAATTTTTCTTCTTTTCTTTGGTTGTCTTTTGAAAATATATTTCATTTCATTTTTACTTCCTCTTTCTGTTGGCTTGTTAGTTACATTTCTTGCATTGTCCAGGTTATCATGGAGTACAGAATTAATCATTGTGCTAGAGAGGTTCAGATAAGTTACTACCATTACTACTCTTGGAACGACATAAGGACCTTAGAGCATTATTAATACTGAACTTATTGTTGCTCATTTTGATCTTGGTATATACGAAGCCCAGTTACTCTTTTAAACAGTTAATGTTTACTTAGATTTTCCAATATATTTGCTCTTTCCATTGCCTTTAAATTTCTCCAACTTCAAGCTGCTCTGTTTCTTAGATCCTCTGATGTGATTATTTTTATTTTAGAAGGTAATTATTTTATCCTATTTAAAAGTAGCTACTGAACAAGGTATGGAAGCCTCCGTTCCGTATCTTCCTTCCTCCAAGCCATCAGTGGTATCTTTCTTTGTTTTCACATCTATTGCTAGGTATTTTTATTTATCTGAAGAAATACAGTGTTTTTCCTCCTATCACCAGTGGGTCTGTTTAAGATTTTCTTTGTGTTTCAATTTTTGGTAATGTTACCAGCTTGCATCTGGATTTGGTGTTCCTTTTTATCTCAGCTTCTTGCAGTTGTATTTCGTATCTTTTATCCCTTTTGGAAGCTCCTCCATCATTGCCTTCTAAAATATTGCCTCTGTCAATCTGTCCCTCACCTTCTGTGTCTAACTTTCATAACTACTACATTCACCATTTTATTCTCCATCTTTTATTTTTTCGTGTGGTGCTGCATCATGATTATTTCCTTCTCAACTGTCTTCTAATGAACAATCTTATTCAACTGTGTTCAATATGTGCTTTTACCCATCTGGTAACACAAGAAGTTCCACACAGGTATTTTTTTTATTATGTAATCTTTATGGAAATGCCAAAGGAGTCAACATCATTTTCCTTTCTATAACATATGTTGGGTATGTGCTTTTAATTTAAAATCCCTGTGCGATGGATGACTCAGTCACCGGGAATCACTTTATGAATGTCGCTGCTCTGTTTTCTTTCTTCTGCAACGTGTTAAGTCATGTCTACTTGTCTTTTCAGTTGTTTATTATTCTCAAAAGACATTGCTTTTAATAGTATCAGAGGTACTGTAAGGCTTTTATAAATCAATCTTTTTGGGGAGTATTTAAGTTTGTTTCTCTCAAACATCCCTGTCAGGGGTGATGTCAATGGATTGTATTAAGGTCATTCTAGACTAGACTTTCTTATATTGACGGCTAGAGTGGAGGACATCACAGTAACACTTATGGCTAGATACAAGAGTCCATCACTTTGTAGGTGCTGAATTCTAGACGGATGCATAGAGATTAGGATTGGTAGCCTATTTCTTAGTTGAAGACAAGCTCAGGGCAATAGAGGAACCAGTTCAAGGTCACAGAACAAGAAACTTGCAGAGCTGAGACTGTAATTCAGACAGCTATTGTTCAACACATCGCTGTTTCCAATGAAATGTAACATCCTTACTTCTGAGCCATCCTGACTACTCCTTTTTACTCAGGATTATGGAAGCTCACCTAAGTTTTATAAGTGATTGAAAGTCCTGGTAAAAATAATGATTTACATAGTTTTCTCCTCTCCAACCTTCCCTAGTGGTGAACATTTTAATTCGGTGTAAATTAGTCTAAATGAGCTTCAATCTCATCAGTAGAAAAAAAAAATCACTGGGGATCTGTGGTTTCTGTTACATTTGTTACTGAGAGAAAAAAGGCTTGCATAACGAAATGTCCTCATTCACTGAGTGTTAATGCTCTGATGGTTATGCTACAGACTTGCTGAAATACTTGGGGTGACTCATTTCAACCTTTGGTTCTTCCTGTCCTTATTTTATAGTTTTAAAGATCTACTTGAAAGCTTTGCCTATCTATTTAATGGAAAGGGAAAGACAGAGCGAGCTCTCTTCCACCTGTTCACTTCCCACATGCCCACAATAGGTAGGATGCCAAAGGGAGCAGTCAGAACCTGGGATCTCCACCCAGGGCTCACATGTCGGTGGCAGGGACCCTCAAACTTGACCCATCACAGCTGCCTTCCAGCATCTGTATTTTCAGGACGCTGGAATCAGGAGCCAGAGATGAGTAGCAAACTCATGTGAAACTTGGCATCTTAATTTCTGGGCTAATAATCACAACCATCACTTTAAAATCAGGGAGGAAGATTAGATTCGGTGATTTAAACTATAGCAGGATGTTGGAAACATGGAAGAACTTTGACATATATCTATTGCTCGACCTCAAACCCAGTGATCGTTATTTAATTGGCCTGAGGTGGGACTCAGGTCTCCAGATAATTTAAATGTTCCTAAGGTGTTCCCAACATCCAATCAAGCTAGCTGTGTCCTGACCGTTCCCCCCAAGTCTTCAGCTATGATTCTGTGGGACAATCTGTGGACAAAGAGCCATCTAGTTACATGAACGTCCATAGTCTCAAATGTAACACACTGTACCATTGCCCATGTCACAGCGTTTGCTGGACTATTTTACTTTTTGTAAGTATCAAACTTCCCACAATAACAGGAATAAATGCATAATCATCTGAAATATCATTGTCTTTTCTGATTTCTCACTTTTAGAAAAGCACAAAGAGGAAAAGAAATCAATATAATGTGCTGTACACATTCCTGGGCTTTCACCATCAATCAGAATCTTCCTCCACTGTGAGAATTAAAGTCATCAGTCCAAAACATGAGTCAAATATTTAACTATCACTGATTCTAACAACGATCAAGGCTTTAATCCCATAGTACTTTCCCTTGGTAATGACATACTTACTTCAGAGATGCAAAAGAAGGTACAGTGCTTATCAGCCCCGTTTCTGCCATCTCAATGGCATGCTTTATTTCAAGCTTTTTATACAAGGACACAATGCTTGACTTGGGTTGATTTTCCCGAATCAAAAGCTTCCGCAGGTATTTTTCATCAAACTTCTTAAACCTGTAAATAAAGTCTTGATCAGTATTGCACGAAACATAAGAAATTCATTTTTAAACAAATAAATCATTTCCATCATTCCAAGTGAAAGCATTTAGAGGCAGAATTTGCTAGCCTGGTATTTATCTGCATTTCTCATGTGCCCACTTGTTTCTATGTATGTATAATAACTGCATGCTATATGCATGCGTACCACTCTGGTACATATATATCTATAGCAAGTATTTATATTATGTAAATATTATTACAAATATCTGTATAAATATGTATGCATACTTTGTATAGGACTATCATGTAATGTCTGTATCTAATATTAATTATGGACTATAACATGAATTTCTTGTTTTATCTTTTCTCTACACTCCATTTCATCACAATTACTCCAAGGTGTTGTGAATACTTGCTGTTTCCAATTCCTCTCTGATTCTCTTTTGAATGTGTTTGCCTTCAACATTCCACGGAAACCACCCTCATCAACATCATCAGTAAACCAGTATTATAGACCCTACTGCCCATTAATTCCCATTTACCTCAACTTTTGCTTATTTCATTGTCTCCATTGGCTTCTAGGACATAGCATTCCTATGTGGAGTCCCTCCTGCGCCTCTCCAGGCCTCTCATGTTGTTTTTTTTCTTTGTGATTTTTTTTTGTATAGCAATGGCTTTGGTTAATCCCTTGGTTCTCCTCTCTATCTCCACTCACACCAAGGGCCAATCATATCTAACCAGGCACATAAAACTGAACTGATCTATTCCTTCAACATCATCTCAGCTAATTATGGCTCTTCCAGGTTAAAAAAAAAAGATGGAAAAAAATGATGTCATCTGGAATTCTCTTAATTCTCTCATATTCCAGTTTATAGACTGGATACCACGAAGACTCAATACATTAAAGTCCTAATCCTTTTTTTTTTTTTTAAAGATTTATTTTTATTATTTTTTATTGGAAAGGCGGATATACAGAGAGGAGAGACAGAGAGGAAGATCTTCCGTCCGATGATTCACTCCCCAAGTGAGCCGCAACGGGTCGATACTATGCCGATCCGAAGCCAGGAGCCTCTTCTGGGTCTCCCACGCGGGTGCAGGGTCCCAAAGCTTTGGGCCGTCCTCGACTGCTTTCCCAGGCCACAAGCAGGGAGCTGGAAGGGAAGCGGGGCTGCCGGGATTAGAACCGGCGCCCATATGGGATCCCGGGCGTGCTAGGCGAGGACTTAACCACTTGCGCCACCGCGCCGGGCCCTAAAGTCCTAATCCTTTGAATTTCAAAAATGTGATGCTATATGGAAATCTGATCTTCACAGAGTTGATTAAGTTAACGATTCGTGAAGATAATCCAATCTAAGATAACTGGTGCCTTTATGAGGATGTTTAGATATAGACACATCTAGAGTAAAGATGATATGCAGAGACAGAGATAGGACCATGACAAGGCAAGGAGAGAGGCCTGGACCGGATCTTAACCTTACAGACCTCACAGGTCTTTGACTTCTAGTTCGAAGCACTGTGATATGATTTATTTCTATGGAATAAGCTACCCAATCAGCAATAGTTGGATAGGTTAGCCCTGGCAAACTAATATTCCATATCTACACCTACAGCAATTTCTGTAGGTCCCATTGTCAAAATGTGGATACAATCCAATCATCGCTCATCACCTTTAATGTTATCATTCTGACTGAACCATTTTTTTTTTTATTGGTATGTCTGCTTCCACCACTGCATTTCCGTATCCTAGTCTCAAGATGGAAGCCAGAATATTTCTGTTAAAATGTTAAGTCAAATGACAGACCATTCTGCATTTCACTTAAGTAGAACAATGGTCCGTGAGGCCCTGCGAAGCCCAGCTCTGTCTCCCTTAGCGCTGTGCTCCTCTTTCCGAGACACAGACTCACTGGGGTCAACTGTGCTCTGGCCTTTATTCTTATTTTCTATTCCATCAGGAAGCCTCTTTCTTCTGGTGCCTACAGGGTGCTTTCATGCAGTGCCCTTAAATCCTTCCTTGACAATCACTTTCCTAATAAAAGCCTCTGCTGGACCGGATCCTACTCTTCCTATCTTACTTTCCAAAAGCACGTTTTATTTTTATAGTTGACACATTCTAATGTGATATATTATTTGCCACATGGTATTTGCATATTTGACCTTTCCTTTTTATGTTTATGCCTAGAGTGTCTCCTTCGTCCTAGGACAAAGAATGTCACAGCAAACTCACCGCCCTCACATCAGGCAAGGTCATCCAGGGTTAGCTGACAACCAACCCACTGCATTGACGCACAGCCCAGATCCTCCAAGCCCAGTGCGGCTGACTTACAGACTCTTAACTCATGTGCCTCAACTATAAAAGGCTGCTGTCTTGAATAGCTGAATGCTTGGGTGATATTTTATGATATTATTATTGTCAATATAGAAGTGAAACACAGTGCGATAAATATTACAAAGAAATGTGTATTGTAATAATTACCATCAACTCATGGAGTTTTATGGGCATACCTGTGCTGTGAAAGAAATCAGTGCCAGCCCACACATCTGGTGCCAGTTGTTTATTCTAAACTCCAGAGGGCTCAGAAGAATGAATGAGCCATCCTGAATGTGCTTTCCTATTGACTGGCCACTGCCCTAAAGGCAGAGCCTACTGTTACTACATCTGTTTGAATTTTATGTTACACCCATTGAGCCAACACACCTGCTCGTCACCTTGCATCTTTCTGAACATGTTTTATCATCATTGTTGTTTTAGCTTTTCACTGGAGGCAAGCAAGAGGAAGAACAAACATTAAGGACAATGTCAGGAAATCTATTTTGTGGAGGGATTATGTCCTTTTTTTGGCGGCTTTGTTTCCACACCTTTCATTGTTCTGCTGACCTACACACAGGCATTCTCATCAACATCAGAGTCTTTGTGCTGAGTCTAAGAGATGTTCCAACAGTAAAACATTTTCATTTTTCTCTCAAAGGAACCAACGCCTTTTGAGGTTGCTCTGAAAGGACTTCGAAAACCCATGAAAGAGGTCTCTGATGGAAAGGGTACTTACTACGCCAAAGAAAGCATGACTTTTTGCATGCCATTTTTTTTGTTATGTCAACAATTGTGTACATACAGGACATCTAAATAGAGTTGGTTGGCAAATTGGCCAGTTTCAGCCCCATATCGCTCCAGACCCTGTTTTTCTGCTCTACCTGTGATGTGTAATGCATACAACAATAGGAAATCACCTGGAACTTTCTTGGAAGACACATGTGTAGCTCTATAAAGGTTTCCAAAGTTAATAGAAGATATCACACTGCAGAGAAGACTATCATCTGTTGAACAATGCTATCTTCAGGCATGAAATAGAGTGGGCTCCGCCATGCTTAGCACTGGCAGTCCCTTCAGCCTGGCTGCCTGCAGTTGGCCTAAAGCCAACCAAGAGACACCTGAGGCTGGGTCTCTGCCTGGGAGACAGGACAAGCCAGACTTTCTGGGGCATTCCTTCAGCTCAGTCCTAGCTCATGCCCATAGGATCACAGTGTCCACCTCTGTCCCCTCCCAGCACTGCCCCAGGCCCTGCTGACCTTATTCATACACCTCCTCATGTCTGGTTTTGCCTTTGTCTGGGAGACAAGGATGGTAGAAGCATGGGGTTCTCCTTTCGCTTCTGAAAGGGAACAATCTTTCAGGTAACCCCTCTCAATCTTTATGTTAGGAAAGCATGAATAAAATGCACAGAGATGGTGAAAGGTGCTTGGGCTGAAAGGGAGAAGAGGAGTAGAAAACAGAGCTGGCTACAAAACACTATTGAAAGGGAATGAAGAAACTGAGTTTCACTGGCATGACACAGACAAGGACTCAGCTACATAGAAAGGTCTTAGTGTGTGAACTAGGATAGGAAAGCAAGTTTTGCGGTAGACACATAGAATACTCAGGCCTACCTTCTGTTTCCAAGGGAAATGGCCATTGTTAAAACATACTTTCTTTTGCTTAACTTTACTCTCAAGGCAAACAAGGCACATTCTAAGTATATCATGTTTCTTCCTTCCTTATCAACTAAAGCTAAGTCCAAGAGGGTTTTATAGATGACAAAACAGCAGCATAAAACTTGGAAAGGCTATTTTATCAATTACAGTTGTTGCAGTGCATAACGTTATTTAATAAGCTGAGCCCCCAACATATGCACACATATGTTTGTTGTATCTTTATCATGTTGCAATACTTGAAGCTAATGTCTATGGCTCATCTCTCCTTTGCAGTAACACATCAGGGACTGTAAACAAACAGAAACCTCTCAAAGATCACATTAGGCTATATAAGTCATATGAAAACTAGTACGGGAGAAAGTATTTGTTAACAAGATAGGAAAGAAAAGGCAATAGAGTCTCCCAGCATAGTTTAGAATGTCTTCAGGGATCAACGAGAAGGCTGCCTCCCTCCAAAATCTTGTCTAGCCCAATGGCATGCTGAGAAGCGCTTAACAAAGCATTCTATGAAGAAAGGGTTACTTGTTAGTTCCATGCACAAACACTCCCAACCAGGCTAATCCTAGCAGCCATCCTGGTTGGCAGTCAGGTGTAACAGCAGCCAAGGGAGAAACACAGGACAAATGCTCCTCCGGATTGGTACAACTGGCTCCTCACCCTGCTATGCCTAACCTTGGTGTCAAAATTAGCCCATACTTCTTGACCTCAGGAAGCTGCTGCCTTTTCAGGAATTCTGGCTACTTTATCTCTCTGCATTCAAAACAAAAAAAAATTTAAGTGCACGGATTCTTAATCCAACTATCTTGTTTAGAGGTAGAGATTTGCAGAGGCGGGATTAGAAAAAGTCACGGAGGTAATATAATTGAAATTTGTGGCTTTATATTAGTGACAGATCAAATGCCACCCTTGGATGCTCTCTACTTCTTGCCATGGGATAAGGTATGTCACTAAGCCCTCAACAGAGACCAAACCTATGGGCTTGCCAATTAAATAGACTTCGATACTTTAAAAGTAGCCTGTTCCCAGAATTAGTGCAGACAATTCTTAACCAAATAGATCACATTCTCCAGTCCCCTTTGTAGGGGGAAATGTCTACAGGACCAAGTCCTAGCCCTTATGAGGTAACTGGAGAAACGGTTTCAAAGTAAGGGGCCCAGTGCAGCAGTCTAGTGACTAAATGCCTCGCCTTGCACACACTAGAATCCCATATGGGAGTTTGGGGAGTGAATCAATGGACAGAAGATCTTCCTCTCTGTCTTTCCTCCTCTCTGTATATCTGACTTTCCAATAAAAATAAAATAAGATAAAGAAAGAAAATAACTCTTTTAAAAAATCAGTAGGGAAGGAGTCGCCATATATTTTTTCCTTTCCTTGCTGTCTTTCTTCTGTAAAGAAGCTTAGAATGGTTACTGCTGGAGGAACCATTTTGGTCGAAGTCACTGTTAGACACTTGGGTCCCGGGACTTTGACGAGGCCCTAAGTAGATCCCATCTATTAAAATCTCAGTTGTATACCTCTGGCTAGTTACACGAGAGAAAAATATGTTACTACTTTGGCTAGACTACCGTTTTTCATGTCTCTGACATAGCTGAACTTCATCTTATAGAACACACTACGGCACAGCGTAGGCAAGTTTGCAGTTCTGAACAATGACATGAGTCAGTGTTTTAGGCTGCCCAGGAATCCAGGACCACTTCAGAACACAACAGCCCAGGAAATCCTTACTTGTCACGCCAGAAGTTGTGACCCCAATGTCCACAGACGTCTTCAATCCCAGTCTTCACATGATCAAAAAACTAAAACAGAAACAACAGTCTGATTAAACCTGAAATCCGTCATTTTCACTCGGCATGCATCATTCTAAACTCTGAACGTTTGTGTGTGTGTGTGCTTTACTAAAAACATTAAAACAGTTTATTTTCGAACAGATTGATATTTTTGTTTCATCACTACTAGGCAATTCATAGATTATTTTGCTCACCTAATAGTTTTTTAATAGTCTGGGGAAGCATGAAAAAAGGCAATAGTTTTTCAGAAGAAACCTTTGCAAGGGCAGGAAAAAGTAAAAAAAGTAAAGAAAAAAAGGAAGGAATTTTGTCCTTCTTGTCATGAAGGAGCTTACAGCAAGCTGACGCAGGGAAGCTACCATGGGATTCTGTTTATGTGTGGTTCCCTTGCAAAGGTCTTTGGCATGCCTCAGTGCCCCGCACCTGCCCACCTCTGCCATTTTTCTCCTCTTTGGGAAAGGGACCTCAGATGTTAAGCTGTGGGACTCGTCCAAAAGATTTCTTCTTTTATCATCTACACTGTCAACACTTACCCGACAGTGGATTTCCTCACTGACAGCCTGCTGTTTCTTATTGGATCTCTTAACGTCTAGAAATTCCACTAATGGTCTGATAGTTATGCCCTGAAAAGAAAAAGAAATTAAATGACAAAGTTAAATTTACTTACAAACAAAATGACAGAATCCACAATAAAATTAGTAAGTTAAAATAACATGAGAACTTCATGAATAGCTTCTCCCAAGATTCAACCCATTAAACGTAATACTTTGTTGATTTTTTTTTCTTCTTCTCAATAGGTACTTTATTCTTGGAAACTATATCTCAACAAAAAACAATGGAAAATACTGAGAAAGTAAGTTAAGAACCATCTACTTGTATGGATCCATTGAAATTTTTCAATGGTTTTCATCCATTGTCATAACTTTGAGTTTTTCTTGCGTGCAGGTCAAGGGCTTGGGAATTTGGGACACAGACTTCAATGGGTAAAGACCTCAGTGCTGGCGTTTTGCAGTTAAACAAAATCAGATGTATCTAATGCAGTTACAAAGCAGACAGGGGAGGAATTATCTAGATAAACCCAAGGAGTAGGTCAAGGCAAGCTTCCTGCTAAGACAATCTTGGACAGGAATCTTAAATGCTGGAAGCATTTGTCAGCAGATTGCCACAGAGTCATGCATATTCGTGGGAAAGGACATTGGTGAATTTGCTTGTTTTCATGGGTGAATTGGAGAAATGGAGAGAAGGAGAAGCTATGCAACAAATGAGGAAGAAAACAAGAGATTCTTTAGTGTGTTGAAAGGCATCTACCAGAAATCTGTTGTGAACGCCTAACTTCCTAAGGATGCTTAAGATAATTTCCATTCCAGAGAGACATAAACACGCTCCCAGCCTGCTACTGGGTGCCCCTCCCCCTTCACATCTTCATCAACTCTGCAGGGAGAAAGAGAAGGCAGGTGTGCACACATTGAAAACCAAGTGACAAGACTTTCTGCACCTCTTACTAAGAAATCTAAAATCATCCTTTCTCATTAAAAAAACATGCAGAAAAGCATAGTAAAATAATTAGTTAAAACAATATGCACAAGCAATCCCATATCCAAATTCACATCCTATATTAGCAATGAAAAACAGAGTATGCATACTAAGTATTGTATAAACTAGTATATTGTAAATGCAGCTAGTATGTTGTACAGACAATAAGTATGTAATAGCACGCATATTTTCTCTGTTAGTATATGAAACCATATGACAAATATTCTGAAATTTCACAAAACTATCAAACTAAACCAAAGCTATCATAAAGATCTGATTTTGATGGGAAAGAGGTTTGGCCTAGTTGTTAAGATATTGGTTAAGACACACACATTCTACATTAAATGATGTCTGGTCAACACCTGTCTGTATCTCCTGATTTCAGCCCTGCTTAGGCAGACCCGGAGGGGCGGCCATATTGGCTCAGCTAATTGGGCTCTTACCATTCACGCGGGAGATCCAGGCTTAGCTCTGGACTTCCTGGAGTGAGCTTTTTCTAATCCTTGCCTTTGCAGGCATTTGAGGTAGTGAATCAGCAGATACCAGTGCTCTCTCTCTCTCTTTCTCTTCTCTCTCCCTCTCTTTCTTCCTCTTCCTCTCTCTGTCTCTCTTTTTTCTCTCTCTCCCTCTCTCTGTTCTTTTTTCACTCTCTCTTCCTCTCTCCCTTTGTCTCTTTCTCTCTTTCTTTCTTTCTTTCTTTCTTCCTTCCTTTCTTTCTTTCTTTCTTTCTTTCTTTCTTTCTTTCTTTCTTTCTTTCTTTCTTTCTTTCTTTCTTTCTTTCTCAGTATGTGTGCATGTGTCTCAAATAGACATAAAAAGGAAAAAGAAAACCCTTAAACATGGACTTTTATAAGAAATTACACAGTTCCTAGATAGGTTAGACAGTGTGATGATAATCTTCTCTCCAACAACATATTCCCAAGGTCTCTCACAAAAATTTGATAGTTGACTTAACCCAGAAAAGTAACGTAACTATAAACTTTGTGAAAAAAAGGAGAATGAATTGGGGGGGGACTTATCAAACACTAATCAGCTAATACACTGAGAAGTATGTGATAGTGACCCCCAAAATAGGCCAGATGAAAATGGAGTGAGACCACAGGGTGAGGAGAGACCCCTGCTTCATGCTTGGTGGATAGAAGAGCACCACTACACAACATGAAGAGGACATAACCACGGGGGGTTCTGGGTTCCTTGGGGACAGCGGGCAGTGCTAGATAGGTACGCTGTCAGCCAAGCATTTGATTTCCATCTCACCTCTCCCCATATGTCTGTGTCTTAAGGATGCTTTTAACAATGAAAACTGTAACATACACAGAGTAATTAAAATAAAGTCATTAGGGCCCACGGTGGTGGCCTAGTGGCTAAAGTCCTCACCTTGAATGTGCTGGGATCCCATATGGTCGCCGGTTCTAAGCCTGGTGGCTCCACTTCTCATCCGGCTCCCTGCTTGTGGCCTGGGAAGGCAGTCGAGGATTGTCCAAAGCCTTGGGAAACTGCACCCATGTGGGAGACCCGGAAGAGCTCCTGGTTCCTGGCTTTGGATCAGCGCAGCACCAGCCGTCGTGGTCACTTGGGGAGTGAATCATCGGAAGGAAGATCTTCCTTTCCTCTCTGTCTCTTCTCCTCTCTGCATATCTGACTTTGCAATAAAAATAAATAAATCTTTTAAAAAAATAAAGTCATTGATTTTGTTCTATTAATCTACATTTGGGTATTTTTTTTAAAGATTTATTTTTATTTTTATTGGAAAGGCGGATATACAGATAGGAGACAGAGAGGAAGATCTTCCATCCTATGATTCACTCCCCAAGTGAGCGCAAAGGCCGATGCTATGCTGATCCGAAGCCAGGAGCCTCTTCCGGGTCTCCCACATGGGTGCAGGGTCCCAAGGCTTTGGGCCATCCTCGACTGCTTTCCCAGGCCACAGGCAGGGAGCTGGATGGGAAGCGGGGCTGCTGGGATTAGAACCGGCGTCCATATGGGATCCCGGGCATGCAAGGTGAGGACCTCAACCACTTGCGCCACCGTGCCGGGCCCTATTTGGGTGTTTTTAAGTCTAAGTTTCACTCAGCTTTTTAAAGTGAACTGACTTGGACCCAGCTCAGTAACATTTCCTGCATTCTCTCTGGATATCATTCAGCCAGGCTGAGATGTCATTAGAGGTAAGAACAGGTTTTCACATCAGCACTTGTTCCATGCTTTCAACTTTTGTAAATGAAAGTGAGTATTAACAGGTATATTTTTTAGAAATGGAGCAATTGCACAAAATCCAAATCCCATGAAACCTATGGTTTAATAATAACTTAAGGAAAAGTCAACAAAATCAAGACCCTCTGAAAAATTATGACACATTCTTTTAAAAAAAAAAGATTTAATTACTTTTATAGGAAAGGCATATATACAGAGAGAAGAATATACAGAGAGAAAGATCTTCTGTGGGCTGTTTCACTCCCCCAAGTGGCTGCAATAGCCAGAGCTGAGCTGAACTGAAGCAAGGAGCCAGGAGCTTCTTCTGGGTCTCTCATGCTGGTGCAGGTTCTCAAGGCTTTGGGCTGTCCTTGAATGCATTCTCAGGCCACAGGCATGGAGCTGGATGGGAAGCGGAGCATCCAGGACATGAACCAATGCCCATATAGGATCTTGTTTTGTGCAAGATGAGAATTTTAATCACTAGGCCATGGGGCTGGGCCCTACATATTCTCTTTTTATTGTATTTCTTTTAATTATTATGATTTTATGATACAGTTCGATAGGCCATGGGATTTCCCTTATCAGCTCCCCAATTCCTTCTCCCTTCACTGAGTTCCCCTATATCGTTACTATAGTATAGTTCTTCATATACAGTCATATGTCCATTGTTGTGGGCATGGGCAATGACAGAGAGTCCAGCATCTTATAGTCAAGATATAGTAAACAGTTTCATTGGGAGTCCATCTTTGTCTGGAAGTAGAGATGCATACTGCATTGTATCCTCACATCTGGATATGACAGTCTCCACTACACAGTTACTATACATCGCCTTAAATGAAAAGCCACAATACAAAATCAACTACAGGAAGAAAAAAAAAAGAAATTAACAACACCATGAAGTTAAATAACATGATTCTGAATGACTAATGTGTTGCTGAAGAAATGAAAAAGAAAATCAAAAATCTTCTTGAAGAAAATGATGTTACTGTATGATCTATGAGCCATTGAAGAATTTGATGAGAAGAAAGTGTTTTGAAGAAGTGAAACTAAGAAAAAAAATCAAAATACATGAGATACAGTTTCCACTGATTGGTGAAATGTGTCTCCTGTTGGAAACAAATACATAAGTTTTGTTTTTTAATCCAGTCTACTAAAATCTATGACATTTGATTGATGAGCTTAAGCCATTTCCATTCAATGTTAATAAGAATGGGTGGTAATTTGGTCCTGCTGTTTTAGCAATGGTTGTTCATTTTCTTCCATTGTTATTTTACTGGCATCTTCTTCACATTTGCCTTTGGTTTTGGTGGACGCTATTTCTTTTCTCTGTCAAGAGAACATCTTGAAGTATCATTTGTAGGGCAGGTTTGGAAGAGACATATTCTTTTAACTTTTTTTTACTGTGGAAGAATTTTATTTCATTTTAAAAGACAAAGGAAAGCTTTGCTGGGTATGTTATCCTGGACTGACAATTTTTTGCTTTTAGAATCTGGAATATGTCGCTCCATTTTCTTCTTGCCTGTAGAGTTTCCTCTGAGAGGTCTCCTGGAAGTTTAATTGGCATTCCTTTATAGGTCAGTTGATTTTTTTTTCATGTGCACATTTAAGGATATTTTTCTTATGTTTGGCTGAAGAGAGCTTGATTATCATGTGTCTTGGTGAAGATCACTTGTGGTCAACCATGTTGGCAATTTTGTGCCCCCCTTGCATATTGTTTCCCAATTCTTTCTCTAGATTAGGGAAATTTTCCCTTATTATTTCATTGAATGCACCTTTAATCCCACTGTCTTTTTCTGCACCTTCTGAGGCTCCCATAACTCTTATATTTGGCCTTTTAATAATGTCTTTCAATTTTTGAATTTTTTTTAGAATGATCCAGCTCTGCTTGCAGCTTTTC